TTAATCAGTCGGTATCACTGTCTTCATATTTCCCTTTATTGAATTCCTTCTTACAAGTTCTCTTGCAGTTACTTTTGGCTCTTTTTCTTAATTTACGGGTACATTTGTATCTTAAACAGGTGTCTCGGTAAGATTTGACGCAACTCCTTTTGCATAGTCTGCTGGCTGTTTTCACACAAAATATTTCATTTCTCCTCCTCGTAATGAAATTGGGGAATTGCACAATCAAATTATCTGCGAATTCCGATTCCAATGAAGATGAACTTTCAGGTGGCACTATTTTCTTCCATTTCGGTAAGAGTTTCTCTAATTTAAAAAGCGAGTGTCTCCCAAGAACGTGTCCCTATAATTAATAGACTATATAAAAATATTGTTGCTTACTAATGAACGCTTTCACTATTGCACATGAAACAATATTACACAAATTTTGTTAAATAAAATATTGATCAGTTAAAAAATCACATGCTGTAGAAACCCACAGTGTAAGGTACTGTTTAGCTTAGCTTGTTTTAGGCAAGGATTCATTCTATCTTTTTACTGTATAAAGAAGTTTTAACTGAATTCTGAAAAAGTATTTATTGATCTTTACTAGTTAAAGGGCAATTTATTTATTGTTCTCAACATACTCACACCCAATATAACCATTACAGGTGTACTTGTTATCGCCAAAATACCAAGTGTATCATCATTTTTTGATCTCAAAAAGTTGCTAGATAGTGTTTTCTCTTGAAGCCTCGTCAATTGTTTCATTGCCTCGAAGCGTTCTTCGTTAATTTTAATCATTTCTTGTAGAAGATCAGCGAATTTAGCTTGTGCATCCTTTTTGACATTTGAAGAATCCTTTCTCGTGATAATTTTGCTTCTCGCTAGTAGCTATATATATGTATTTAAGAAGACTTAAATCATTTGTATTAGTAGTTGTACCTAAATTGTTTATTATTACAACATCGTTTAATATTAAACAATTCTTTTTAATTATCATCGATTTTACAAACTTAATAGACTCATCAGTGTTCGTTCATTAGCAATTAGGTATGTACTTTATTACTATCATCTACAAATTAAGTCGTATATATTTATACCTACTATAAAAATCTCACTTGAGAAATTATACTCACTGTTAAATTAAAAAGCACAAGACTCAATGCGACGCATTTCATTTCTACGAGCAATCATCCGTGCAGTTTCGAAAATTTCAATTATTTCCAGACAATTGCTGAAATAATGAGTTTTTCTATCTCACCTTACAGCGGAATGAGTATTGACGAAGAAAATATTACCTACCTACATAAATCTATGCCTACCTATTAGCAGTTGAATTTGTTCAATTAGTTTTAGACACTTTCTCTCATAAATAAGATACAGTCGCATGCAAATATTTACCTACACGTGATAAGCTACATCTCTTATTACAAAGGAATAAGGTAAGTTATTGGTCAAAGATTTAAGAACAGTACAGTCGGAGCTATGACAGAGAGAATTTCATAGTTCTTGCAATAGAACTATGTTGAGTATAATACCTAACAGTAGCTCAACAGTATTTATGATGTTTAACATTTTCTTTAAGTTATTATACTTAGATTTGGTGAATATCGCAATTAGTATATATATATATATATATGCCTATGGACTCTAAATATTTTTCTTCTTCTTAGTTGCTATTTTCATTGCTGAAGGTCGTGTCTAACTTGAAATGTTGACCACCTGATGTACTATGCTTCGCCACGTATTCCTGTCCTCGGCAGTCTTTATAGCCTTAGTTATTGATAGGCCCGTGAGCGACTTTACTAGGTCTGACCAGCGGGTAGGGAACCGACCGCGTGATCTTCTCCCATCGACCTGGCCACCACCATCGGCTTCTCTAGGCTGTCAGGGTTTCTGCGAGTGATGTGTCAGAAATACTTTAGTATGCGCTGGTAACAGATAGTGAACAACCTTGTGGTGATGCAGAGTTCCTCAAGTATGGACACGTTGGCCTGGCGTGCAGTCCATGGCATTCTTAACATCCGCCTCCAACAACACATCTCAAAAGCGTCGATTCACTTTTAAGAGTTCCGAAATTAACGCGGCCTCCTTAAAATTTCGTAATGTCCTTTCGTATGCCCGCAGTATAGCTATTAGGCCGCGAAGGCCTATTCGCTAACTACTTTTGACAGATGAAAGTGATCATCGCCGAGCTATTTAGTGATCCACTACTGCTTTATTATAACGCCACTAAGATACATGTTCAGAAAAGCATCGATGGATATTATTTTATAAAGCTGTATTCCTGTAATGTACAAAAATTGTGGAGAGGAAAATAAATGTTTTTTATATGCAATTTTCTCATTAGTTACACACTTTAAATGTCGAAAAAGTTAGCGAAAAGGCGGGCAGATATAAACATACCTATTATATAGTAATCACGTCGAGAAAGTGGTTAACAAATACGTAACCATAACGGCGTCGTATTTTGTTAGGGTTTCGTACCCGAAGGGTAAAAGCGAGACCCTTTTACTCTAAGCCTGCATTGTCCGTCAGTCTGACGACGTCTGAGACAATTGAAATTTTCACAGATGATATATTGCTATTTAAAAACTTTCCGATTAAAAACAGAATTAAATAAATATTGGAGGGTAAAACACACGTGATTTTTATGCCGTTTTTTAGTCGATTCGCGCGACTCGCGTTTCCGCGGTTTTTTCGTCTACCTCAAGGTGTTAAGTACTATGGGGCATATCCTGAAGGGATAGCCCTGGGGAACATAGCTCACAATTATTACCTTAAGAACACTCACATTAAGAACAGGAAGCTCAACTTTGTTCATTTTAGCTCAAAAAAATTACAATCATTCATTAACAGCCGATCTAGTCTGTGCCTGAATTCTATCTCCTAGAATGTTCGCTATGAGACAAAAGATTCTCATATTCAAATCTTTAATACAAAGACATTTAGTTTTTAATATAACTGCCAGCCGTAGGCATTACAGAAAAAAAAGATTTAACACAACCACAAGTCAAGGAGGCCGTAATGCTTTTTTTTATAGATAGGTCCGACAAATGACTACAAATGCTACGGGCGGGCTTGATAGTGCAAATCCTTCTTAGAGAAAGGTGTCATCACCGTTCTTCGGAAGGCACGGTGAGCAGTTGGTCGCAGCTGCATCTGCAGTTATTATGACCCACCAATTCGCACTGGGCCCGGTAGGCGAATAACCATTCTATCTTAAGAAGACCTGTGCTCCTGCCGTGGAGACATTATTAGGCTGATGATGATCATTAATCCTACTATCTGGAAGTATGACTTCACAAGGCGGGCGCCCTTATTCAAGCTAAAATCTGCTGCATCCCTTACATCAATGAAGGTATGATACAGTTAATACTGTTCGAAGTCATTTATTTAGCATGACTTCAAACAGTATTAACTACACTCGAGAGCAATGAATCCGGGTCACATAGAGAATCCTAATAAACTCGCAAACTAAGAATGCTAGCTTAATGAAATAAATTCTAATTAATAGACAATTAAATACTACTTAAATGAAGATATTAAAACTTTTCAGTTATTGTAAAGTTATATCATAAAAAATCAAATTTGTAGGTTCAGATTTTAGGATTCTTTAAGTGACCCGGATTCATTGCTCTCTAGTGTATACTGCCAGATGGAATTTTAACTTTAAATAAGATAATTAAGAGTGGTAGGGCATAGCGGATTCTCCGCTCAAATGGGAGCGCCCGTCTGGGGAAGTAACCTCCACCTTAAAGAAGACCACAGTGAAATAATGATACCTTTTGGTTGTATAGTGTTTCTGTCGATGAGTAAGGTTCCAGAGCTTCCTGGGGTAGGGGATTGGATCAGATTAGGTAATTGCGGGAAGTTTGCTAGCCTTTTAACATAAAAAAAACATTGCAGCATAGCATTGCAGCTCAATATATTCAATGGATATTAAATTGAAATATATTAATATTTTTTATTTTATATTAAATTGAAGAATTGAATTGAAGTTCAGTTTAAACATGCTTAGCTTGATAAAGTTAAAAATGTATTTCTCCATTAAAGCCTCCACAGTTTATGTACTACCATCTGCAATGCCTACATGACTCCGATTTCCGATGAACAAATATTTTTTTTGATATACCAAATTATTGTGTCAATGATAAAATTAATGTTGACAAAAAACTACCTTTGAAAAGGTTCCGCCTGTGGTTTCATCTACATTGTAGCTTTATAAGAATCCAACAGGAACTAGAAATAATTTCTGGATCAATAGTATCCTGTCTTAATCCAGGTCATGAATTATGTATATATATATATATATATATTCATCATATATAATAAAATAAATATTCATCATTCATACAAACACACACACCACATGCACATATGCAATATGCACCCTCCCTACAACTATATAGTTTTAGTTTGATGTAAGTTCTTCTTTTAGCTTAATCTTGTAACGGTGATGGAAGAACAGTGCTTCCTGCTACAGGTATTGCTATACTTGTAGGAGTGCACCAAAAATGTTAATAGATAATGATGTCGATTCTGGCAGGGTTCTCTAAACTTAATACTAAATTTAACATCAGTCTCTCCTTTTCATTGTGTATAGAGAATGACAAGGTTACACTGTTGTCAAATTTAAGTTTAGGTTTAGGAAATCATGTCAGAATCGACACCAATAATAGACTAAGTTAAAGAGGATAAACATATTTATTTTATTTTACATCCATTCAGCAGTTTTAGTGTGATTGAGTAACAAACATACAAACTTTCATCAATAATATTAGTAGGCTATGTTAGAAAATTTCTGTAGCCTAATAGTGAACAAGGATTTATCTACTTGTATGCTCTATTTAGTATGACTTCAAATAGTATTACCTATGCTGCCAGCTAGGAATTTTAAACAAAACAAAACCTTTGTAATTTTGACATTAAATATACATTTTATTTACTAAATTAGTAAATTAATTAATTATAATTAATACCTTAAACTATCTTACACTATAATAACAGCTCTTACTCCACTCTTAAGAAAAGATTCATTATTATGTTGCACTTTGTCTGTAGTTTTTAGTGTCCAATATTTTTTTTCCACACATGGCGCATATGCCCTTTTTGTATGCACATGCTTGACAATAATGTGAACCGACTTGATGAACCTTTGTTCTGCATATTCTGAAAAATTTTATATATTATTCAGATACTGTCATCCAAGCATAATGTTTTATATATTGAAAATAACATATAATTAATATATATACTAATTTTTAAATATGATATATATAATAGGAAAATAATCATTCAGTCCAAGTAAGCTATTATTTGATTGCCATGTAAAAAAGTCGCAACCATCCACAATAAAAGCAGTTTTGTTGACTGCTCTAAGGGATCCTAGGTTTGAATCCTAGAGGTATTCATTCTGGCACAGGGTACAAATATTTAATCACTCAGTTATAGTTTTTAATATTTAAGATTTATAACAAATATTTAGGATCTATAGTGCAATGGTGTCCATTCTGGTATAATTCTATAATTCTCTAAACCTTAACTTAAATTTGACAATAGTGTGTCCCTGTCATTTTCTTTTTTTATGATGTTAAATTTAATTTTTCAGTTAAGAAAATCAGAATTGACAGCAATATTATGCTTAAATTGGACTTAACTTGGTATGAATTGTCTAGAATTTAAAATAAACTGCTAATAAAAGCTATTGTTCATGATCTCAGCAATTTAAAAAGGTATAAAAATAAATGACTTATACCACATTAATAATTAAAATGAATTTCCAAACAATGCACATAGCATGTCTTTTATTGGTAAAAAAAATACCATGCACTGGTTATAAAGGTTCAAATAAAGGAAAAATATTGTTATTATATAGGTTTTAACGATAAGATAACATTTATCATAATCGTGCATTAAATTAGTGGCTAAATGTGATATTTACTTACTTGCATTCCTGGAACTTAGACGTGTATGGATTGAATCGCCCTTTTTTAGCTGTCAAAGCCTTATTTTCTCCAACTTTTCTGCCGCCAGACTCTACTGTGTTCCTTGCACCAGTTTTCCAGGGGTCCGGTGTGATGACCCGGCCGAGCTTCTTTTCGCATTTCTCACAAACCATCGTGTTTTGACGATTCCACAACAAACATCTAATAACCTCAAAATACTCTATGAAATCCTTTTTGAGACACTAAGTAGTACTTATTACATACTAATCCAGTTTAAACTTTATTAAAGTGAAAATTGTAGATAACTTTATAAGTAGAAAATTAACATGATTTAATTTTGTTACACGGACCTGATTTGTTACTAATTACTATCAAAATCAGACACTGTCACTGTCAAACTGTCATAACATATGCTGTCATGTCACTGTGTACGTACTGTCATTACTGTCAGTGTGTTTATTTAAGATTCTTCCTTTTTCAGGGAAGGCAAAGGGAACAATCTCCATACAGCCTAGTCTTAAGTTTTATAATTTTCTTTTTTTTACATTTGCAATACTAATGTTTCTTGGAATGTTTGGTATGAAATATATCGAATTGACTTTTTCGATAAACTTTTGTGAGGTACAGTTTGTCTATAAAGCCGTGGCATTAAATGATGGCGCCACTTGTATACATGTAGCAACCCTGTACAGTCGGACTAAAATGATTTTGATACTAGCAGTTCATTCAAGAAAAATAGGTAATAATAAGAGACACTATACAGTCGTATTTTGTTTCTGGTTTATATATAGTAGGTACCTATGCTTATAAAAAGTTTAGCCAAGCATATTTAATTTAATCAGAATAAAATTATTATAGATAAAATAGTACTTTATAGTGTAAAAGTGTGTAATGTTGGTGATTACCGCTGAGGTGCCATTGAGATCAGAGCCGTTAGGTAATCATCAATACACACAAGTATCATCATACGACGTTTTTTAACACACTTGTTAAAAAAAAATACTAAAAATCATTTTATAGTATATAAAAAGTTTATTTAGAGAAACAATTTGTAAATGTGCAGTTAGTAAAATTAGTGATAGGTATCTTCACTAAAAGCATCTGATCATGGTTCTTTAAGTGACCATTTCTTTCTTTGGTCGGCCTTGCCTGTTTTCCCAGGAGTTTCAAACTTTCCATCATTCTTAAAACCTTCGATGACGATCCGACTCTCTGATTTTCCTGAAAAAAAGTAAAAAAATATGTAACGGAATAGAAGGCATGAAGGCACGAAGCAATTAATTCAAAATTGGTAGAAAACCTGACCGAGTTGAACCATAATAACGTATCAAAAGAAATGGTCGTACTACAATATTACCTATTTACAATGTCAATCTAACCTAAAAATGTGCAATGTAAACAATGCTTTTTTTGGTCTCAAAATCGTAAAATTGAGTAAATTTGTACTAGACAGATTACAAACAAATAGTTACACGATTACATACCCGTCATAGATGCTGTTCGCCATAAACATCATCCAAATCCCACAAAATTCGTCCAGCTTGGTAGTGTTCGAAACATTGCTGGAAAACTTTAAAAATCACTTCCCGCGTGCTACTCCGATTTACTTTACCTACTCATTTTTATACCTTTCCGCGTAGTTTCGTCTTAATTTATTACAGTTTAATCCAAACAATAAAAAATACAAAAGGAAAACTGTTCCACAACTGAAACTCGATGACAGCTGATGTACATAAGTTTGGTGTTGCCAGACACATGAATAATGTTAGTTCCTCAAACATTCATGTCACGACTTTATAGACAAACTGTAGCCTACACTCAATAAAGTTTCACTTGCACGTGCACTTGACCGGAATAGCGCACATTTTTAAGATTACACTAATTCTACAGTTCCGCAGACGGTGATAACACAAAATAAATCATTTTTTTTCACAGTAACCACTATGAACAAATTTAAGAACAATTAAAATAAGACGCCAACCGCACTTGATGAAATCGCGCCAAAAACTTACGGTCGTAACAGGTGAGTGGTATTGAATCTGGCATGATTCTCTAAAGCTAAACTTAAATTTGACAACAGTGCATCCTTGTCATTCTCTATACAGAATGAAAAGGAGAGACTGATATTAAATTTAGTTTTAAGTTTAGAGAATGATGTTAGAATCGACACCAGTATATCCCTATCATTCTTTATATAGATTGAAAAGGAGAGACTGATGTTAAATTTAGTTTCGAGTTTAGAGAATCAAGTTAAAATCGACACCAATGTCAGTCAGACTAAATTAGGGGTGGTGAAATAGTTCTATTAAAATCGGTACATACGATAAAAACCCGATATTTCTTCTCATTGTTTCCTAGTGTGTTTAGATGGTTGATGATTACTTAAAATAGATTGTCTATATGTTGTGATCATCATCATCATCGTCCATACTACTCAAGGGCAGCTGCCTACCCTCTGCCTCCCCTTGGCGACACCCTTGATCCTACCCTAACTTACATAGTGTGTAATGCTGTAGAGCATGGTAGATACAACAACTATCAATTTTGAGTAACTACATTTCCAGAGCATGTGTCAGGTTTTTTTTAACGACGGTTAAAGTTCATGAGGATGAAAACACGTACCTGGTTGATTTATTAATAACTAGTGGCCGCTCGCGACTTCGTCCACGTTAACTGTAGTTTTTGGCAAATCCCTCAGAAGCCTGATATTTTTCCGGGTTAAAAATTAATATCCTATGTCTCAATCCAGATCATGAACTATATGTGTACCTAATTTCATGTAAATCCGTTCAGTACTCGATTACGCAAATACGCGTAGTTGAGTAACACACAAACTTTCACATTTATAATATTAGTGGGATTCTTCACTTCAAATTAAATAACCAACCCATCTTTTATTAATTTTATTTGTCTATTTTCATTAATACAACATACATCATCTATAAACATCATTATATTGAGCAAAAATATTTATGTCCATATCCATCTAAGTAGCTTTATTTAGTTTTTATATCCACGTGCATATTCATTTATAGTTGAAAACTGGATTAAATACTCGTTAGATTAATTACAAAAACATAATTTTGGCTATTTCATGTAAATATAACATGTTGCTCAATATCAATATAGGTATTATAGAAATAAATCTACAGTTCTCTAACACTAATACATTTCAAGCCTAAAACAATAACAAAATATTGCACAAACAAAAATTCTTCAAAACATCTTTTAATTATGATGCTAACTTTGGCTAGGAAGTTTATCATTAGGTGATACGGTTCTTCTGCTTTCTGGCCTCATATTTGGCTGAACGTCTTGGCTCGCTTGATTTGATTCAGGATTTTGAGGAACATGGTCTTGGCTTACTGCTTCAGGTATTTCTACTTGAGGAATATATTGGCTTTGATCATAATTCTGATCATCTTGGTAAGTACCGTCAGCCGCGTAGTTTTCATATTGTCCTTCATACTGAGCGTTCGGATCCACGTACTGCTGAGGATAATTATCATACTGTTGATTCTCCTCGTAGTTTCCATACTGTTCTCCAGTATAAGCGGGCTGCTCATAATTTTGATCATATTCTTGACCTTGATATTGATTGCCTTCGTTGCCTTCGTAGTTTACATAGTTACCGTCAGTGTTATTTTGATCTGTACCTTGGTATTCTTGAACATTCTCTACTTCCATTGGTTTCTCGTTTGATTCTGGAGGAAGCTCCCCTAGATTTTGGTCGTAGCTTACATTTTCGTTAAATTTGTTTACATCGCTTGCAGTTTCGTTGACGTTATGAGTTCGATTTTCAGTTTGGTCACTTAATAAGGAGTTTCGAGATTGCTGTCTACTGACTGTTCTGTTTTGTTGTGCGTCAGAGTGGAATTGGTCTGGTCTGACAGTTGGTCTTTGGTCAATGAGTCCGGAGTGTCCGGTGGTGTTATCTCGGGGATCGTCTGATCTGGAATCGGCTTGGGTATATGGTACATTTCGGTTGGCTGTGGAAGTGTGCGTGGTTGGTGCTGAAAGTAATTTTGAGCTATTAATATTATAATAATATATCGAAACATGGTGTAAGAGAATTTCAAACATTTTAAATTCTCTTACACCATGTTTCGATGTAATATTGGAAAAAATACACTATTTAAAGTTAAAGTTTTTATGGCAAGTAAACACTTAAATCATTTAAGAAACGTGTTAAAGAAAATTATCAAAAGTTAAGGATCGACGTATGTAAACTTTTGACTTTCAATATTTGCGGTCACAGTTTCAGCTCACTATTAATGCTGAACATAGGCAGTATAAATATGACCGAAAACCCAAAATACTGTTTTAACACCGTGTTACCTAAAAGTTTACTACTGGTTCTTTAATACTAAAGACTTTCGAATTGAAGTGGTTAAGCTTGATGGCGAACTGTCAGTTAACAACAGAAGAAGCTTCAATTATCTTAGGAAAAGTAACGATGGAATCAATTGAACAATCAGCGGCTAATGGAAAATCCTTGCAGTTAAATGATATATCTCAAAAATCTTAGTTGAAATCTCATTAATATTTACTTCAATCATCGACACTTGGCAGTCCTGCGTTTAAAATACCCCGCATCGGTTCTATACAATACCTTGATAGACGCTAGGTGTGGTCGGTGCCGGTTGCATGGATCTCCCCAGGATGTCTACTTGATGCTGCAGAGTGGCCAGTTCTTCCCTGAAGCACATCACGCACGTGACAACACACACACACACACGTGCCACACAATATAAATACTACAGAAACTTCAAACTTTGTCACCTTCATGCATAAAGCTGCCATTAAACATTAGACCATTCTCATGATAGGTCTTAAATTCAATACTATGAACAAATAATTTAGGATATTTTCAAATGACTTCGAGTAAGAGTTTTTTATATACAGAATTCAGGTAAAAGATAAAATAAAGGAATTTCCTATCAAATCTATAATATATTTTTCTAGATTAGGTGCAGAAGCAGAGAATCAGAATGCGACAAATAAAAGAGGTACAAAACCGTGGTTGAACATCATTCAAGCTATGCGCTAGAGTCTGTGCGGAAAGAGAATGGAATTTAGATTGGAGGGTGCTGTAGTGCTCCGTAAATCCGTATCAATACAAAACTTTGACGTTTTGACAGATTGCTGGGTTTGATTGCCAAATAAAAATCTTAATGTTAGTTCCATTTTTCGCCACGCCCATTCTCTTCCCGCACAGACTCTACTACTAAGAAAACTCCCACAGAAAACCGACTATCTATCGCATATTCCTAATACTCTACCTTAACCGGATCATCATCTGAATCTCCAATTCTTTCAAAAGATAGATCACTTAAATTTCTCGTCAGATTGCCGATTTCGTCTCTAGGTGAATCGTATTGTGAACTCGAATCGTCTTTTCTAATTCTATTTCTGCTCGTGTAAGGCGTTGAGGTGTAATATGTGCGTTCTAAGTCATACGATGACCGACTATTTGGATAGCCGCTTAAAGGCGTGTAGCTTCGGAATGGTGTGATTGTGGTGGTGCAATATTTTTTATGAGAAGACCACAGATTTCTCAGTTTTCTCATAAGTTCAATGTTCCTGTAAAGCAATTGTGTTCTCTCTGCTCTGAAACGGAAATCAATTGAGTGAGCATGGGTGCTATTTTAATGTTATATTTTAATGAGATGACCAAAACCAAGCTAATTTTAATGATATGATCAAAACCAAGCTAATTTTAATGAGATGATCAAACCAAGCTAATTTTAATGAGGTGATCAAAACCAAGTTACTTTGTAAATAAAGTAAAAAAATCCAGTAAAAATTAAATAAGATGACTTTAATGAATCTACTTTTATTCTTATCTAATAATAAACTTATTCGAAAATATTGTTATCATTACCCATTATAAAATTTCAATGTAATACCAGTATTTGAACAGACACGGAAATACAAACTTTTCAATAATTTCAAGGTAAATTATAATAATCAGTATATAAACAGGTAATAAACTATCAAGACAACATTCATAATAAGCGATTTACAACAACAATTTTCAACAATAAATTCGCAAAAACATGTTTCTAACAAAATTACTTACTAAGAATTGACTAAGATGCCTTAACAAAATATTTAAAAACTAATAAACAATATTCAACGTATACGTAAATGTTCAATAATAAAGTCCTACATTAAAGCAGCAATATTCAGTTCAGAATCTTTTAATTTTACATTACCAATCATTTAAAGCAAAGCTGTATAAAGTTAAAATACTTATTTCAATACTGTATACATTCAGTTGAAACAATTTTATTTTATCCCATGTGATCAGTCAACCCAATTGTACAAATATCAATTACAAACTACGCGGATTCTTCATTCTCTTCTTGCGTTGTATTGTGTTCTTTTTCAGATTTATTTTCATCTGTTTCAATTTCACCTAAATGAACCTTTTCTTCTATTTCTGTTACCAAATCGACAGTTTCCATATTTTCTTGCTTTTCCATTTGATTATCGACGTTCTCTATGTCTTTTGGAGTGACTGATTGTGGATCTGACTCTTCTCTTGCTTGCATCGAGTCTTCAACATCTAATACGCATCGAACGTCTTCAGTTTTTATGTCTATTGCAGATAGTTTGTTACCATTCATTTGCACGTCACTAGAGTCTACTTTTAACTCTTCTCGTTCATTATCATCATTCGTAGTATTACTTTCGATAATTTCTACAGTTTCTTTTAATACTCTAATATTTCCATCTACAACTTCCATACTTATATTATTGTTAACACCGTTTTCATCATTAGCTTGTATCACTATTTCTTCTACTTGCGCATCTCGTTTCTTTTTATCCCTTTTCCTAGATTTAGGTATCAATTTGACACTAATGTCAACTTTTATGGGCTCCTTTTTCTCCCGTAAAAAGGGCTGTTGAATCATTAGTGGAAGATTATAAACTTTTTCACCTTTGACATCGGCGAGATCCTGATTGGTCGTCAATGGGCCAACAATGATTGGCGGATATTTATTCGACGAATCGGACTCTTTTTCGGAGCGGCGCTTGGAACGGCGGTTCCCTATTGGTGGGTGTGGTGATCTTGAATGGTCGCGCTGTGTTCTGATTGGTTGGTCTGTTCGGCCGCGACTCTGCGCACTGCCTGTCACCAATGAAAACACAGCACGACGTTAGAACAAACTATTTCTATTTTGAAATGGGTAATGATAACAATAGCATCAGTTTTGTGCGAAGTAATAAAAAGAAAGATATAAAAGTAATTTAAAGTGTGTGTCAGATTAGCATGCGAATAGTTGAAATTGTTTCGTACTTGTGCCTACGATTTGCGTCGTCGAGCTTGTCTGTTAGCAAACGACATTCGCCGGTGAGTTTCTCCATCAGACTGTTTTGTGATTGTATCATGGACTCCAACTCACCCACCGTTTTAGCTGTGGGACCAAAGGTTCTTGGTTTAAACTTAGCAATTCTTTCTTTTAAAGCTGTTTATAAATTACTCGAAGAATTATTAGTGGATTTTGCCGATTTAGTATAGTATCGGTATTGGTTATCTATTTTTGAGAAGTTTGATAAAGATATTTGTTTAATTAAACAATCTGATGAATAAACTATTGATAATCTTTTAAAAAGCCCTTTCATGACACTATAAATATACGTGCAAACGCAGAATATGAAAGGGTAAAGTATGAATGTTTTGAAAATATTAGACACAAAGATGGCAAAAGTAACGTCTTAAGAGTTTACTTATTGTAAGTATTTCAAAACATCAATAGTTTACCCATAAGACAAAACTATGAAACAACACCCTTTGAACGAAAATTTAGCTAAATTCCCAATTAACAGTGATGAGGTTTACGTGAAATTGACAATTGTCTATTTTAGGTTTTTCATACTAAGTAACAAAAAATATTGTTGGAATCATTCAACCCTCTTGAATAACCTTATTCAAGTACTGCTTAAAGTGACTACGTACCGTGTTTATTCTCAATAGACTCCAAAGCCGTAGAAAATTCTTTCTCCTTTTTCTTCTTCTCTGGTGATATTGGCGTCAAACTCTTCATATTCAACTGCGGAATTTTGATTTATTTTAATTCTTTAAAACACTGCTTTATATAAATTATCTCTATCATCTACACCTCCATAGACAAAAGGTATCAAAATTATTCCCTTTTTTATTATTATTATTGTAAAATTTTAAATAATGATAAATTACCTCCTTTTCAAGAGTTGAAATCTGCTCTGCGAGACGTAGGTTTTCACGTCGCGAGTGCACCAAATCTGCATCGGCTCTATCAAGGCGTTGGCGGAGCGACTGAATCTAAACAAAAATAAGGAATAGCATAATTATGACTGGAACTAGAAAAGTCTAGAAACAAATAAAAGTATTTATATCTCATTATCCAGTGGCATTGCTTTCATAAAATATCTTCTTTTTGATCTTTAGCTAGATTCATTATCATCATCAGTTTATTAATGTCCCCACTGCTGGGGCACAGGCCTTCCCTATGGGTGGAATAGGGAGATTAGGCCATGACCCACCACGCGGGCCCAGTGTGTATTGGCGGGTGCTAACGACTGCAGATGCTGCCGGGGCCAACGGCTTAACGTGCTTTCCGAAGCACGGACTATCTTGAGATAGAAGATTTTTGGTTACCCATCCAATGACCGACCACTGCGGAAGTTGCTTAGCTTCAACGATCGCGATCGCAGCATCTTTTCTTTCTCAAGTCTGGGTGGTATGGCCTTCTTTTTTCTCACTTTAACATTTGCTTTAGGGTTAGAGCAATGTTTATGTCTTAAGTTTTTTTTCTAGAATCGTCTTTTTATTACACTTTAAAACCTCCAACTCCTTGAACATGACCATGTTTAGATTGTGGAATTTACAGTGATAGGATCGCACCGAAAATCCATTAAATCGAGATGGTTCGTGTTTCTGAAGGCATTTTAAGTTATTAATCGAATCTTCTCGCTAATTTGGACGTCGAAATGCGTGCTAAACTATTCTTATTCTGTCTATCATATATTCGTACTTTGAAAGAGTGGATGAGGAGAAGAAGGACACCAAAATTGGGAACATTAGAAGATAATACATAATCTTTTTTCTATCGTAATAAAATTTCTGAAGGAAAATTTACCTCAGAATTGAGTCTATTGGTCTCATGCTTGGCCTGGCGCTGTTGTCTCTCCATAGCAAGTCTTGCGCTCGCTAGTTCTTCATCTAGAGATGCCTTCTCAGCGTGAGCTTGTGCTAAATCAGCTTGTAGAGATGCTGAAAAGTTTTCGGTGGTTTATTATGGAAAGTTTTAAAAATATATTGCATTATGTTTTTTTTTCGAGTCCCGTCTACTGCCTGGTCCACGTGGAATTTTTTCTAGTAGTTTTCTTTTTCTTTAGATATATTGCATTTTCCATCAAAGTTGAAGTTTCCTCATTAGAAACTTCCACACAATGTTAAGAAATACTGCACCCATAATATTATTGTGATTTGAATATTTAACTTCTAATGTCTTGAAAGTACTACTTTTTAACTAAATTTCGAAATGTCTAGCAAATGGACTGTTTAAAGAAATTAAAAAAATAAATGAATGAGTGATAGTTGTTCATCATAGAATCTCGAGGAAATTTAAGACTAAGTAGTAACTTAGTCTTAAATTTCCTCGTATTTTTGAGAAATGCACTATCCTTCATTGATGGACTTGCAAACCTTCATACGTCCGTTCATCAATGCCTCTTTTGCTGGCCGCTGCAGTAATTTCTTTTAAGTATTTCTTAAAATGCATGGTTAAGTGATTTGTTGCCTATAAAGAGCTATTTTTAAGTATAATAAATTATTGTTTGTACCAGTTTTATTCTTGAGTTCCATTTTCAACTCTTCTACAGCTGAATTCTTCATTGACAACTCTCGCTTCAGGTCGTTTTCTTCGCGCCGCTGGCGTTCCATCTCGAGCTGTTAAAAGTTAGCTACCATTACTTTAGGTTTTTAGTATATAGTGTTAACCTAGTATTTCATTTTATTCAAGATAATAAAAAAATGTTTGTTTAAATTTTTTATTTAAAAATTATTTTGCATCTAACGAGTAAATAAGATAAAAATGATTATGGCCGATTCTTCGATCGTAAGATCAAATCTACTGACGTTCGGTATATCATGACCGTCGTCAATGAACAACTTACTTTAACTTACATATTTTTATAATGACGTAGAGTTAGAACACGACACGACGGTGGTGTATATTCAATGTTAATTTTAAGAGTATATAGATATGCTCTCAGGACTGCCCTCAAAATTATAATATCTGGTGAATTTGGAGTAGTTTACCAAACTTTCTATAAAAAAAAAACCCGATAATCCTTTCTGATCCTATCCTTCTAAATATATCATCCAACTGGACTAACTGTTTAAAAGAAGTAATCAAACTTTAAACCCTTTCATTTACCTGCATTTTAGCTACATTTTCGTACTGTGTGCTCAGATCGTGTTGTAAATCATCGACGTGCGCGTTGTATCATTACTCCTAAATATACTATAGTTTATAAAATTTTCTATGTAAAATCGGATCTTATCTCTTTAATTTACCTGCATTTTAGCTACATTGTCGTACTGAGCTGCCAGGTGGTGTTGTAATTGATCGCAGTGCGTTTTGTATCATAACTCTTAAATATACTATAGGTTATCAAATTTTCTATGTAAAATCGGATCTTATCCCTTTCATTTACTTGCATTTTAGCTACATTGTTGTATTGTGCGGCCAAAATGTGTTGTATCATTACTCCTAAATATACTATAGTTTATTGAATTTTCTATGTGAAATCGGATGTTATCTCTTTCATTTACCTGCATTTTAGCTACATTGTCGTACTGAGCTGCTAGGTCGTGTTGTAATTCATCGAAATGCGCATTATATCGTTGTTCGGCTGCACTTCTTTCCTGTATGGCGCGTCTGGCGCCTTCTCCGGCTAGTTCGCGGACTTTAGAACGCTCCTTTGCTAAATCATCCTAGCATAAACATCAAATTTGAAATCAATTAAGGTTAGGAGATCCCTATTTCATCCACAGGGAAGGTCTGGGCCCCAGCAGTAGGGTCATGGACAGACTGATGATTGTGATGACTGATGAGATTAAGACATAAGCTATGCCTTGCCATAGCTGTAGTATGAAAATAAGTAACCTCCGCTATAAAGAAGATCACGATGTAATTTCACTAGCTCTCGGTGGTTACGGTGGTAAAGCTTGTTACAGGAATATCATCGAAGGATAGTGTCATATGGCTAGAACCATCTTTAAGAAGGTACCACTAACCACATAATGTTCAACTGCCTCAATACCCTTCACTTTAAAATCATCTTCCATCCAGTACTCCTGGTTCAGTTAATCTTAAAACCTTGCTAACTATAACTAACAACCCTGGTTTTATATTTATTAATAAATTAAACCTACTTTATTTATTTATAATTCAATATTCCCTTTGTGTTTTGTAGGAGTATCTATTTTACTAACAATTTTGTGTTGTAACGTTTTTAATGTTGTCTCGTTTGGTTTTAGAGTAGCCGGAGTGCACTCAAGGAAGAAACCGGAATCAAAATTTACCGATCACCATCCTCTGAAGTCCTCGTGTCCCTTTTACTAAAGGACTTTGGCTAGATTTATATCTAGAAGAACACGGTAAAATAACACTTTCTATTAGTGATGTTGTATTTCTAACGATTAGTAAGGTTTCAAAACTCCACGTATAAGGGCTCGTCATCATCAGCATATTAATATCCCCACTGCTGGGGGACCAGACCTTCCCTATAGATGGAATAGGAAGGTTGTGCCATTGACTCATATGGCGAGTGCAGTGCCATTAATGGGTGCTAATGACTACAGATGCCACCTAGACCAACCGCTTAACGTGCCTTCGAAGGCATCGCAAAACAGGCATTCGATAGGATTTTAAGTAGATATTGGTATCGATTCAAGCATGATTCTCTAAACCTAAATGAAATAAATCAATGAAAAGGACAGACTGATGTTAAATTCAGTTTTAAGCTTAGAGAATTCTGCCAGAATCGACACCATTTTTACAGAAAGGTAAGATATAATAGACTTCCCACATGGTTTGTAACGACTTACCATCATCATTACCAACAGTATGTTAGAAAAGGAACTTGTCATTGCCACCTTGATAAAGGATTATGGCGAAATTCAAATTGTTACCTTCAGTCTGCGAATCTCCACTTCTAAGTTGTTCCTCTCTTCTCTCAACTGCTGCTCTACAGCATCAGAGCCTCTCTTGTATCTGCCGTCGAGGTCGCCATCTTTTTGTTCAAGAGAAAGCTTCAACTTGGATATCTGAGATTCCAGCGAAGATTTGTCTCTACAGAATTCGAACAATAAAACTTCAAAAACTACGACACACACAAGTGTTCATTTCATTCATTCATTGTAATATTAATAATAATAACAAATTTTCGTATGCTGTTAAGCATGTTATGGAGGCACGTTTATATAAATTTTAACAATGTTACCGATGATAACGAGTAAATGATAATTTGATTTAATTTCAAAACCTGAAAGTTTATTTTTCGACAATGGCCAGATCAGTAACTGCAACAATGATGAAACATGCTGAGATTCAACTACACAACTTCGAGTTATTCGACTACGGAGGTCTTAGATTTCATGAGTGATTATTTGGTATTATAAAAATTATTCTCGTACACAAAGACTCGTAACATTGCATAAAATTTAAGACAAGAAGGTCGTCCAAAAAATACCGACTAAAATATTAGTTAAGTAAAGTTGTTAAAGGAATACGTTTTCTATAAAAATTTAAACTGTCTTGCTGTTTCTGCTGGACTGAATGGACAATCAATTAACATGGCTTAATAATAGAGTTTCATCACTGCAATAACTTTGAAATAACATTCCATTGATGAATATTTGTAGCTTATAATGGAAAATAATATAATAGGCATTTAAGCAAAACACTTACCTTTGCAAATTGTCAATCTGCCGTTTGAAGCCATCAAGGCAAGTTGAATCAACGAGCCCAGAGGCCAACTTACGTTTGTTCTCATTGTTTTCTTCCTGAAATTACACCATTTTCAGTAAATCTTTGAAATTGAAGATGTAGGAATCTTTTGTTTTCGTATTTGCTATAACCTTATGAGTTATAACAGTAAGAAATAATAAACCTATTAGGTATGTTGTAATATTTCTCAATGATTATATTCAATGTTGCATTATCAATGTACGGGACGCCGGGCTGTCGCAGTAGCGGACAGTTACCGACTCGTACTGAGGGGGTGGAGGAAGTTACACGCAGGAGTCTTGACTGTAGTGGACTGTAGTTTCGGCGAATAAAACCCCTGGTGTTCGGTATTGAAGAAATCGGTGGGCGCTGATAATGGATGGCCGGTGAGAGGAGGCTTCAGGTCCAGAGTGAACCGCTTGGTTGTTTCTTCCTGTTCCTTAGGGTAGGAGCGCCTGTCGCTGAATGCATGTCGGGGCATGTTCCGACTCGAATTTTATATGCTAGGACTGAGCTGGCCAGCGATCCATTACCTCACCCACGCTATACTTTATTTTTCATTTTCTCAAGATTTACAATAGTGCGAGCTTAAAACTAATTGTACATACATCGGGCATACATTTGGGCATATTTTTAACATAGTTATGTGTCCGTAAACACGATATTTTAGGTGTGGCGCGCAAAAAATAGGTCTCCGCAATATTTATACTTTCCCCCTCCATAGGGCTTCGCCCTGCCACGGGGCTTCGCTGCCCCACCCGCGCGCTCCGGGCGCGCCGGGTGGGGAGCGCAACATGTCTCAGAAAACGGTTCTATACAAACATATTTCTTTTCCTGCACAGTACATTTTTACACTTATTGATGCGATACCTATTTATTTACGTAGCCCTACGTGTTACCTATCTAATACAACAAGTTTCTTACAAGAATATTAATAAACAACAGCTCTACGGCCCTATAAAGTTTGCAAATTAAAAGTCTTAAAAAACCTACTTATACTCGCTTAATGTCTAACTATCATACACCATTTTAAAGAAGAAGTAAAAACACATAAAATGACATCATTGTTATAACAATTATACCTATATCCTATTGACTATTCATAAAAAACTATTCCCGATATTTTCCTTAATTACGCTTAAACTACTAACACGATTCATACAAAACTTCGATATATTATTCCTATAACTACCTACTATCTAATAAGACATAAAGTAAATCAATCAAAACATAAAACATACTATTATCGAAAATTGTCAACTCAGGCAAAATCCTATAAGACGTGTGACAAGGACAACCTATTGTCTCCGTCCCTCCTATAGGTCGGAACTATCAGTATTCTGACTAGTTTCCCCGCGCCACCGCTTGGCGTCATGGCGATCGTTTAGATAAAGTCTTATAAGATTATTGGAGAGAACGGGGCGGAATATCGCTCTGAACTATCAATTTTACAATGGTTTACTATGGGCAGAGCTATCTATTGTTGCGATATCCGACTCATTCTAATAAGACAACAAGGGAATGATATTTTTAATGCGTATACAACTAATTCATGTGAAATTATAGATACATTTTTATACATTGTTCTCGTATCGTCGTGAGTTCATTTTCTTTCGCTTCGGTCGTAAGGCGGTCGTCTCGTACATACTCCCGCCGTGCAGCGTCGGTTGACTCGTCGCTGCATCCAATCACCGTGGGAGAGGCGACCGATGATGTTGTATGCACCACCAGCCGCTCCGAAGGTCGATGTAGTGCTCCTCCAATCTTGATAAGGTTGATGACTCGTGTAGTCGCGTTTCGCCCGAATTGGTTGGCGATAACGATTCGGTGTTTCTTGTCTATACGGCGATCTCCGGCGATTTTCTCTGTTGCGATCGATGCGATGCCACCTCGGGGCTCCCGCCGGTGGCGCGGGCGGCCGAGGTCGATGAATTCGCGGCTCGTCGCTGTAGGTATAGTGAGCTGGGCGATTTCTTCTGTGTGTCGCATTGTGTTTCGCGCTCCCGCCGCTATGCTGACCCGGTGGCGGTGCTTTTCGACTTCGTGGCGGCGCGTGCTCGGTGCGAATTTCTATGTGCGCGTCCGCTCTTCTATTCGTCTTCGATAATGGTCGATGGTCGATTTTTCGGTTTTCGTTCTTCGGTCCATTTTCCATTTTCGGGCGATTTTCGATCTTCGGTCGATTTTCTACCTTCGGGCGATTTTCGATCTTCGGTCGATTGTTGACGATGTTGACTTTTTCTATAGTGTTGCGCGCGTGTGTGCCGTGTAGGACCCATCCGAGCGCGGTTTTCGATGCGGCGAGCTGTTTTCGGCTTCCTCTTCGGACTTCGCTGGCGATAAGGAGGTCCCAATTGTCTTGACCGATCAAAATGGTGGGACGGGCGTCTTCGTATACGAGGTGCTTTTCTATGTCTCGGAGGTGCTTGCAGTCACGTAGGCAATGTGGCTCGACCGTTTGCGATGAAATCTTCATGCGCCGAATAGTGCGCGCTTCTATGTCGAATCCCTCCGTCTGTCCCTCGATGTTGAAGGCGACTCGTCTCGATTGTGTTTCGGGCAGCTCGGCGTCTATGGTTTCGATCTGGAACTCTTCGGTTGGCCCGTCGGCGCCTATCTTCTCGGCGGCTCGCTCTTCTATTAGTGTCACGGTGGAGCCGTCGTCGAGCAGTGCGTAGGTATCGAAATGACCTCGCGGTCCGGTGATGCGTACTGGAACTATCTTCAGATACGCGTCGCGCTTGCGGCTGCTGTGTGTGCTGGCTACTCGTTCGGTTTCTATCTTTTCTATTCGATGCGGCGGCGACTCCTCTTCTTGATCGATTTTCGGTTTGAAGTGAAGTAGCGGATGATGAGTGCGTTCGCAGCCATCTCTGTTGCACGCGCGCGGTGTGCAGTAGTGTGTTCTGTTTCTATACTGAAGGCACTTGTAGCACAGGTTGCTCTGCTTCGCTATTTCCCAGCGGCGTTCTCGGTTAGCGGCCTTCAGTGTTGCGCAGTCGACCGGTGTATGTTTTAGTTCCGCGCAGACAGGGCACGGGACGTCTTCGACGTAATATCTTCTATTTCTATCTTCGATATTTTTTCTTTCTTGACCTTCTATGCTGTGTGTTCGAAATCTTCTTTGCAAAGTAGAGTGTTCTTCACTCCCGATGTATTCCGGTGGGGCGTATCTTGCGTTATTCTCTGCCTCGACTTCGATGAACTCGGCGAAAATCAATAGTTCCGGATCCGTCTTCATTTTTTCTTGCATTCGGTGATTGTTGACGTAATCGTTCCATCTGAAGCGGATAGTCGACGGCAGCTTTTCTATAATTGTCTTCATGATGTCCGGCGCACGTAGGTACTCGTTTTGCCCCAGTACTTGTAGTGCGACGACGCTATTCTTGATTTTGTTTGCAAAAATCACGATGTCCCTCGGCGAATCGGTGAGTCGGGGTAAATGGCGCAGCTTTTCTATTTCGGTTGCGGCGATGTTGTCCGGGCGGCCGAATCTGTGTTCCAATTGCTTCATAATGTCGCCCGGCGTAGTGTTGCTTATTAGCATGCTGCCCACGGCTTCTCTTGCCTTCCCCTTGAGGGCTCTTCTTAATCTTGATGAGTTTTCCGCCGACGATAGGTAGGTTGCGGATTCTAGGTACGCCGCCCTGAAGGTGAGCCATTCTGTGTGCGCGCCGCTGAAGGGTGGCAGCTCTCCGACGTAGCGTGGACCCGGTGCAGGCGGTACGGCGGCACGGACGGCGGCGTTGATTGCGACGGCCAGCTCGGAGACGTTCATTCTGTCTTGCTGGACCGGCGGTGGCGGTGGCGGCAACGTAGGGGCGACTTGTTCTTGAGCTTCATCAATGCGGGACGGCGGACTCTTCTTAATGCATGGCTTCAGCGCCCCTGGGACTGGATCTTCGGCAAGTGGTGCGACGGACCCACCAATCTGTACGGTGTCCTCGACGGTCGGTCTTCTATACGGTTCGGTGGTGCCGCCGTCGGGGGTGGTGTCCTTTGTCGCTGTGTCCAGCCAGGTGATGACGCGTTCTTCATTCTCGGTGCCATGTGTGCTATCGGTTTCTCTTCTATCTTCTATTTGCGGGTCCTCTTGGTCCTCATCTTCGCTATCTTGCTCTTCCATTCGTATCTTCGCCCTTATAGTCTTCTCTAATTCTTCATATAACGCCGCCAGGCGCTTCTTCTTTGCTGCTCTTCGTGCAGCTATCTTCGATTCTGTTCGGTGTGATGTCATTGCAGCTGATGGCGACTTCGGCGGTTGGTCGTGGCGCAGCGGGTACGGTGGCCGCGTCACGGTGTCGCTCCCTTCCGATGGCGCTCTTGACGGGGGTTGGACAGGATTCTCTCCTGCAGCGGTTCGCTCTGGCTCTTCGATGCTTCTCTCGATGCGCTCCTCTTCGGCCTGGTCCATTTTGTCAGCTTGAGATCTTGTTCGTGGCATTTTTCTTTCTTCAATCTTCTATAATTTTTCTTCAATTTTCTGTCTTCAATCTTCTATAATTGACCACGACGATCTTCTTTCTTCAATCTTCTATAATTTTTCTTCAATTCTTCCTCGGCGCTGTAGATCCGGCTCGATGCGACCAAAAAATGTACGGGACGCCGGGCTGTCGCAGTAGCGGACAGTTACCGACTCGTACTGAGGGGGTGGAGGAAGTTACACGCAGGAGTCTTGACTGTAGTGGACTGTAGTTTCGGCGAATAAAACCCCTGGTGTTCGGTATTGAAGAAATCGGTGGGCGCTGATAATGGATGGCCGGTGAGAGGAGGCTTCAGGTCCAGAGTGAACCGCTTGGTTGTTTCTTCCTGTTCCTTAGGGTAGGAGCGCCTGTCGCTGAATGCATGTCGGGGCATGTTCCGACTCGAATTTTATATGCTAGGACTGAGCTGGCCAGCGATCCATTACCTCACCCACGCTATACTTTATTTTTCATTTTCTCAAGATTTACAATAGTGCGAGCTTAAAACTAATTGTACATACATCGGGCATACATTTGGGCATATTTTTAACATAGTTATGTGTCCGTAAACACGATATTTTAGGTGTGGCGCGCAAAAAATAGGTCTCCGCAATATTTATACTTTCCCCCTCCATAGGGCTTCGCCCTGCCACGGGGCTTCGCTGCCCCACCCGCGCGCTCCGGGCGCGCCGGGTGGGGAGCGCAACATGTCTCAGAAAACGGTTCTATACAAACATATTTCTTTTCCTGCACAGTACATTTTTACACTTATTGATGCGATACCTATTTATTTACGTAGCCCTACGTGTTACCTATCTAATACAACAAGTTTCTTACAAGAATATTAATAAACAACAGCTCTACGGCCCTATAAAGTTTGCAAATTAAAAGTCTTAAAAAACCTACTTATACTCGCTTAATGTCTAACTATCATACACCATTTTAAAGAAGAAGTAAAAACACATAAAATGACATCATTGTTATAACAATTATACCTATATCCTATTGACTATTCATAAAAAACTATTCCCGATATTTTCCTTAATTACGCTTAAACTACTAACACGATTCATACAAAACTTCGATATATTATTCCTATAACTACCTACTATCTAATAAGACATAAAGTAAATCAATCAAAACATAAAACATACTATTATCGAAAATTGTCAACTCAGGCAAAATCCTATAAGACGTGTGACAAGGACAACCTATTGTCTCCGTCCCTCCTATAGGTCGGAACTATCAGTATTCTGACTAGTTTCCCCGCGCCACCGCTTGGCGTCGTGGCGATCGTTTAGATAAAGTCTTATAAGATTATTGGAGAGAACGGGGCGGAATATCGCTCTGAACTATCAATTTTACAATGGTTTACTATGGGCAGAGCTATCTATTGTTGCGATATCCGACTCATTCTAATAAGACAACAAGGGAATGATATTTTTAATGCGTATACAACTAATTCATGTGAAATTATAGATACATTTTTATACATTGTTCTCGTATCGTCGTGAGTTCATTTTCTTTCGCTTCGGTCGTAAGGCGGTCGTCTCGTACAATCAATATAAACGGTGATTTCATCACTTATTTCAAAAACTGATGAAGTCACTGTAACTCATGAAGTCCTTTTTTAATTTGTCTACTCTCTCTGTCTCTGTCTCTTACTCTGTACAGGGAGAAAAAATAGCCCTTGCTGAGTTTCTTGTCGGTTCTTCTCAGTACAAGGTCTCCCGCCATAGATTTGCGAACCGATAGCGTAGCATTGCGGCATTCACAGGTGCTTGTGACAGCCTAGTCTGAATAAACGATACTGAATTTTGAATTTTTTTAATACAGAGTTCAATTTCTTAATGACCAAAACTTCCATCAAAGATTGAGAAGCTAAGATAAGAACAACATTTGAGTATCTACAAAGTATCATTTTTATGGCCATCGTTTGTTTGTTTGTTGAAATGTAAACTAAGCACCAACGTGATTTTGATCCTTACCTGTACCTTCTTAAGGTCGATTTTTGCCTGAGCCAGTTGCGCCTCCAATTCTGCTATGCGTGACTCGAACACTATGTTTGGTCCTTCGAGCTTCGTGGAACGCAATTTGCCCCTCCGTGCCTTTGACGGAGTTGCCTTGTGAAAAACGAATATTTGCATTATTCATAACATGATAAATTGCGAAAATATATGTCTTCGACTTTATTTATTTATGTTTAAATGTGGGTAGATGTTTGTATTGACACCAGTTATGAAATGCCGGAGCTGACTCTGGAAAATTTCTCCAAACTTAAAACAAAACTTGACAGCAGTCTCTCTTATTTACTCTGTATAAAGCATGACAAGAAAATTATGATAACCAATTTTAGGTTAAAAGTATAGTTTCAGAATCTCGTCCTATATCATGAACATAGAGAACAGACTGAGATTTTTCTATCCAACTGCAAAGTAAACAGGTCAGCTAAGTGCGCAAGAGTCGAATCAATCGTGCGGCCAATAGTTCTCAAAGATAAGTATTGACTGCACCACCGTTTACTCTCTTTCTAGTGAGTTGTCAATTTTATAAGAGTGTGGCTCATTCCACTCTCTTAATATATCCATAGTAACATTATGAATGCAAAAGTGTGTCTGTCTGAAACCGCTGAAACGATTTAGTTGAAATTCGGTATCGAGATAATTATAGTTACACTTAATATAAATACCACTATTTGTATTTATACTGTATGACACAGCAATCAAAATGCAGGTAAACAATTAATGTATATTTAATCATTATGTAATGAAAGGTGACTTCATGAATCATCTCTTAAGTAATCTTGATGTGTAACATCTTTCCTTTCGCTTTCCTGCAATTTGTGGGAGTGATTTCGTGAAATGGGACGGAAGTGTGTAACAGGAAGTCGCAAATGCGGTTTTAGAACATAATGTTCAAATGGCTTATTCCTTTTGTAGTAGGTTTTATTTATTTTTTTACTAATATAGGGTGAGGTTTTCAAATGTTACACATCTCAGTACAAGGTCTGCCGCCGTACATTTATGAACGGATTTTCTAGACATTCATGAGGGCTTGTAACAGCCTAAACTGAATAAATGATTTTGTTTTTAATTATTGATTATGATTATTATTTAAATATCTAATAGGGTAAGGGAACTTTTTATACCAGAAATAATTCTTTATGTGGGTGAAATGTGGAGTGGAATTTTGTATAAAAGAACTAGTTTTTCCTAGCAGACGAACTGTCCAATACTTATAAGTTGGTATCAGCTTTCAATGTGACGACACCCCAGAGCAGAAAAAAGATTCTGTTCCGTAGACGACACTGTATGAAATGAAACAGTGAGAAAAAAGCATCTATTGTTGAGTTTCTTGCTTGTTCTTCTCAGTACAAAGTCTCCCGCCGTAGATTTGGAAACCGATGACGTAGCTTTCTACTTTCACGTGTGCTTGTAAAAGCCTAAACTGAAATAATGAATTTTGAATTGAATTGTATTACCTTATTGTCACTTTCTAATCCGGTGCTGTCTCCGAGGTCATCGAGCTCATCAGTCTCCGAGCCGCCGTTGTATGAATGGAACATGCGGTTGATAATTTTGTTCTTCTGAGCCTCGTGCAAATGTTCGTTCTCCGATATCACTTCCTTGACTTTTCCAAGGAGGTTGTTAAGTTCGTCCTATAAACAGAGTAAAATTTTACTTAAAATGGTAAAAAGAATAATACTTATTGAAGAAAGAAAAGAGGCAGTTTTTTGCTGCGTCAGCCCCTTTCTCAGTGGAAGATCGCATCAGATGAAGCCTGAAAAGCCCTTATGGCTAGAGGCGTTCCGCCATGGGCGTGTTTTTTATTCAGTAAGAGTTCGTCATAACCTTGCAGTCGGCTATCCATATGAATTCCACATCCGCTCCTCCGTGGGAGAAGAAAAAACAGCAGTCTTTTTATGAGATTATAAAAACACAAAATCTTCCACTTTTTTTAAAATTTAAGGATCAGTAGTAAGCATTGCGGGAGAGGAGAGTTTCACTACCCCTGTTTCGGTTAGTGACTTCCACCTTGCAGAAGACCACGGTGAAAATACCAGGGTTCCTCAGGAGATTGTGTTTTTTCAGTAGGTTTGATATTTGACACAGTTATTGTTAGTACACACAAAATTACAATATAGTTTTACATACTCATTTGTCATTGTTGTTTACATTTATTTGTTATTTTATGTTTTAGTAACGAAAACTGTGCAAAAATCATTATATTGCGACACAATTTTTAAGTAGAATAGCAGAATCGACACCCACGTGGGATGGGGTAATCAGCTGCAAAAATGTATCACACTAAAAAGGCGAAAGTTTGTGAGTGTGTATGTTTGTTACTTCTTCAAGTCTAAACGGCTGTAGTGATTTTAATAAAATTTGATGTAGAGTTTGCTGACACTCTGGATTAACACATAGGCTACGTTTTACTGTGGGAAAATATACCTAATAAACCGCGGGTTACACTGCGGGGCACAGCTTGTACAAAATAAAATAAATTCTTAATTACTTATAGAAAAACTCACTCTACAATATTGGCTCTCTCTCTCCAACTGTTCAATGTATTCCTCTTGCTTCTGTATGAAGTTGACGACGTCAGGGTTGGTGCTTCCAGACAGGTCCGCTGCAGGCGCCGTGGTGGTAGCTGGAGCTGGCGCTACCAGGGAGTGTATTAAAGAAGTGAATCAACAAAGTGAAGAGTTGATATTGGCGGATAAAAAGAGTTCTTGCGAGTATATAATTTAAAGCTTCAATGACGAAATATGAATCTGATAATGTGCAAATGAATAGCTCGATGGCGCAGCGGTTAGCGCCTTCGGTCCACGTTCATGGGAGTTAAGACAACTTTTGCGATTTTGGTCATAGGATGGGTTATCAAAAAATATTATATCGAGCTCCTCCTTGCTCTGGAGAGCACGTTAGCCGTCACTGACTACACCTGCATTCGATAAAACAAATCTATTGAAGGTCACGGGAAGCCGCCGGATGCGGACAACTCAGGACCGATCAACGTCGTAGGCGTCGCAGCGTTTGATGAAACATAGTCTTAAAAATGTCACAACAATATTAAAGACTTAGAAAAATATTTTTGATTAATGTATTGAGCAATATTAAGATTCTTATATTTAACATTGTTATTTATGATGTTATCTATAGTATGACGGGGAGAAAAAATGCATTATATCCACGACAATGACCAACGCCGCATTGGTTTGCTGTTAACAAACCCGTGGTGCATTCGGCCAGCAGCGAGTAGCCCGAGGGCCTCTAGTCGGTGCAGGTATATTTTGACGTGCGCTCACGCAAGCGTGGCAGACGTCAAAGTAGCCCTGCTCCGACCAGCAGCCCGGCCCACACCCGCTTCAGCCGATCCTGGTCTTCACCGTTCACAGCATCACCTGACTAGTCCCACTGACAGCAGTCCGAGCGGCTAGCCAGCCGATCTGCTCCCGTACCTACCAGGTAAACCAACTCCCCTATCTACCCCTCATCCTCCAGGCGTAATTGGCGTAATCCAGATATAAGTTGCCGCTTGTCACGCCTGGATGTTTTTTTTTAATATAGCCGGTTAGGCAAATGACTGTACCCCACCTGATGTTAAGTGGTGAAAAAGTCCAAACGCGTGTACGTATTGAAGAACATGTATTGAGTAATATTTAAGGTCGCCGTACACGGGTCACCGCCCACAACCACAAAACGCCGCCGCCACCGACATATTTCCTGTAGTTTTCATACATTTTATATGCACTTGCCGCACACGGTTAACGCCGGTGGCCGCCACATGCTACAAATCATCGTTGCTCGCTTCTTGTGGCCCGCACCGGCCACTAATGCGTCGATACAAAACGCCGCCACACGCCAAGCGCGCGATTCCCCACCTTCAAACTTTCTTCATCAGAGTCCATTATGATACTGCACGCATGTGTTAAATAAAGTAGCAGTCACCGACAGCAAGTGTCGACCACCGGCCACAAGTGGCTGTCGCGCGCTTCAGCTACCTTTGTAGCCGCTTCTAGCTTCTCGTGGCTGCTTTTGTGGCTGTCGCGTGTGGCCCATGTGCGGTGACATTAAGATTCGTAGATTTAACGTTGTTATTTTATGATGTAAGCTATCTAGCATGTTACCTATATTGCTGTAACATTTATCATGTGTAGCATGAAGAGGCGAATACTTCGTGTTGCTCAGGCTATCGGCATACAGCGTAGCGTACTTGGCTGTAAGTTTCGGCCGCGGTCTGAACTCGCTAAGTGCGTTGTAAGGTGTCGTGGAGTATTTCTTGTCCAGATCTCCGTCGGACTCGTCCAGGTTCTTGATGGTCGGTGAGCCTCCGTAACTACGCACCTGTGAGTTGATTGGTTGTAAGTCAGTGAAGCAAAACTCGCATGAAATTGAAAACTCGGAAGAAGAGAAGGAAGGAAACTTGGAAGTAGAGAAAATAAAGCTATTAAATTTACGAGACGAACTATGGACCAGCCTATCGCTTTGTCTCTCTCATAGAAAGGGAGCACAAGCACGGATTTTTGGATTTACTAGAGCGCGGCAGAATAACATAAGGCAACCATGCACCTTGTCACGGTAATTATCTATAATATTACCGTGACCTTGTGAACTACTCCTGCCATACTTAAGCCCTTCATACAGCATATAGATTTATATCGCATCCCTGCCTAGCTAATGCAAAGGATGGGAGATTCAGATTGTTTTTGTTTTTTGTTATAATATGATTATATTCATAACTTCTTTTCTTTTATTATTTTGATTACTAAAATGATTGTCTTGTATCTCCATCCGTTGATGTCCAAATTAGGACCCTCCAGAATATCAGCGTTGCAGCGGCAATCCATTTGACGTTGCAACATTATGCTGAGTTGGGGCCTAGTTGACGATGTATCTTTTGTCACATGTTTGATGTGTGTTTATTGTAATTGTGTTAGTTAATGTATGTCATCAATAAATGATTTTTCTTTCTTTCTATTTAAGGAAGCCAACGTCTAGGGCAGGAAAAACAATCAAATCAATCAAAATCGGCCATGACATTTTATTCAATTATTTTACAATTTGTCTCTTAACTAGGTTATTAGTTATAATTTTTAAGCATGTAAGTGCTTGATGTTTAAATCTAAAGAAAACATAACTAGAAAAAAATCCACGCGGGTTCGAGTCCCGTCTACTGCCTGGTCCGCGTGGATTTTTTTCTAGTTATGTTTTCTTAAGGTTATTAGTATCAAATTTCAACGTGTTTAATAATACCGTACTCAAGGCTGCTATTTGCAAGGACGGATCCAGCTTTGGCGCCAGGGGGGGGTCATATAGTCGTGGTATATTAAATATTGAAAGTACTTAAATAAAATCCCCCTGGGTTTGGTCCATCTGTACCCAGCCCAAGGGGGGGGGGGGGTCATGACCCCCCACCCTGGATCCGCCCTTGGCTATTTGCGAAGAGAGAAGCATAGAAAGATAATAAAGATAAAAGAAGGTATACAACAAAATAGAGAAAAGTTAATTCACATCAGTCCCGTTAAATACTACTCGTTTGCTTCTTGGTCACGTCCAAACCTTTATTCTATGAATAGATCTACCCTAAATAAAGGGCTGAGGTATGGTGGGAGTACTTCAGAAGGTGCCAGGTTGCCCACCTTATGTTATTCTGCCGCATTTGAGTAAATCTCAAAATCCATCCGGTTCTCACGCACTTATCTGCCTTGTTTCACTTGACAGTCTACATCGGTTCTACAGTTTATTCTACCAAAAGAACGAGTGGGGGAAAAGATCCCATTTCTTCTGTTTTTTTGTTTACTTAACAATTATTATTCTACTGGTAGAACCGCAGAATATATTATTTATATTGGTAGAACAATTAATAGAAGAGGTGGGGAAGATTCTATAGTTGAATAAAAAATTTTCAACAGCCCACCCGAAATTATATATTTTATTTATTTAAAATTTATAGCAAAGCAAATGGCGGACTTAATACCATAAGGCATTCTATACCAGTCGACCAGAAAGAGCGTGAAAAAAAAACTAATATGACGGGGGCGCAATAAAGATAAACCGGGGATATTTATCCCTGGTTATTTGCACTTAATAGGAAACACACATATAGCGATATGTGTAGCATAAATGTAAAAAAAGGAAACAATGAAGTGCGTGTTACACAATAGGTTGCGCAATTAGCGAGCATGAAAGTTGAGCCATTAGATACATTTTATTGGATAAGTGACCCAAAATTATTATGAGCTCATCCTTGTTTCGGAAGGCACATTAAGCCGTTGGTCCCCGGCTGCGTCTGCATTCGTTAGCACCCACCAATCTGCACTGGGCCAGCGAGGTGGGTCGTGGCCCAATCTCTCTGATCAGGGAAGGCTCTATCCCAGCTGTGTGGATATAATTGAGTGATCAAGAAAAAGGCTGAAAAGTCATATATTTAAAAATATGCTTGATGAAGTTGAAGGTCCGATAGTTTACGTGGAAAAAAATATTTAACTAATTTTAGTCAAGTACGAAAATTTTAAATAAGTACCAACTTTTTGTAGGTATGTATAATATGTTTTATATAAATTAGTAATAAAGTTAAATTAATACAATTCGGATATAATACGCATTAAGTTATCTGCTCTAAACTCTATTAACTTATATAAGAAAACACTAACATTCACGTGTACGCCGTAATTTAATATTTGAATAAAATATACTTACGCTTGGAGCATAGTTTCCTGACAAGAAGTACCTCAGCTTCGATACAGCCTCTTTGTAGGCTAGTTCAGTATAATCAGGTATCCTTTTCAATCCATACTCATTCAATTTCGTCGGTCTTCTGTACGGATAATAATAATACGGACTCATTGCTTAATCTATCACTTTTGTAATAAAAACCTTAAAATTTTCCTTCACATTTCGAATTCACAATTCTACCAACATTAATATATAAATCTATAAAATTTTAAAATTTGAATTTAGAATATTAATTTGCGCATTGCGCTTGGAGTTGTTTGCATCGCAGCATTTTTGTTTCGAAAATGGAATGTGTATTGATTACACTGTTTTTCCCGTAGCCATGGCAACCGTTTTCGGCGCAAACAAGTTGTCAGTGTGCGGCGGTTCAAATTAATGTATTCATGGTAAATTCAGGTTACATTAATGCATTTTTGATGAAATGATAAAATTCTTTATTGGAATTATTATCTGTAGTGGGATCTAGTCAGATTAGATTTAGATTCATTATTTGAAGCCAGTTGTTCACTGTAAGTGATAACTTTAAGTAATATGAATTATAGTTTTTTTTTATTGTAACTTATTGTAAGAAATGGGTCAGTGGCTTTACCGCTGCATTTAAAGAACAAATCTGAGAAATTTTCCTCCACGACAACACTATTTTGAGTAGCGTTTTTTTGCAGCGAATAAAGTCACAAGAGATCCTCATGGTCAGGGAAATGGGTTTAGGATTCAACGTTAGGTAAGGATTGATATTTGAAATATTTTATTTTTATTTTGCGTTATTAATCGTAGAATCGTTTGAAATACATTTTTTATTTTGCGTTATTAATCGATTGTTAAAGCATTTTGGCAAAAAGTTTTGGCAGATAAAGATTGTTATACAAATATGGGTAAAACTAAAATGTAGGTTTATACATTTGAAGCTTCGTTTAGTACACTATCGTATTTTATTATGTTAAAAGGCTGGCCTACAAGCTTATGGCGTTCCTGATGGTAAGTGGCCACCATAGCTTATAGATAATATAAAGTTATCAATCGCGCAGTTGTTCGACCCTGACCCAATCCTCTACCGCGTGGAGCCCTGGAACCTTAATCACCGTCAGAAACAACCAAGGGCAGGGGTGGCAGTTGCCCCCTCCCCCCCTAGAGATCAAATGTAGCTAGCCGCAAAGCGACCAAAGTGCGAGCAATTGACTTTCTTACCTATTATATTGCCCCATAGCCCCCCCCCCCCTAGTCATAACCTGGCGAGGCCCTTGGAAACAATACCACCAAACGGAAGTGTTATTTTACTGTGGTTTTCTGTAAGGCGGAGGTTACTTCCTCAGACATTCGTTCCAATTCGGGCGAAAAATCCGCTATGACATTACGGCACTTTAAAATATATATCTATATGAAAAAAAAACATCAAGTTCAAGCTCATATTTACTGTAAGTTTCATTAATTAACAGTCTTCAAAAAATGGAGGATTCGACTGTATATTTTTTCTTTCCTACACTTAACTTTCGACTTATCAAAGTTGATATTGAATCTGTTGAATGAATTGAACAGTTTATAGAATATTATCACTGATTGGGCTTCTCTCACACTTTTGCTATTAAATGCGCTAAAATTAGTGTTCGAAATTTGAATTCAGTTCTGTCACAATGAATTATCGGGCGACGCTTGACGAATTTGACGATAGCTTGACTGGCGATAATTTGACACACACAAAAGAGGTTGTGGGAGACGATAAATTTGTATTTGCAGCTGAAGGAGCGTACTTAATTCAAAGTTGGACGTTTTAACGCATTTAAATACTAAAGCTTCGTCACGCGCAGATGTGGCATGAATAAGCATTAATCACTTATCCGACTACTATACTATACTCAACTAAGTATAAAAGTTCTCAAATTACTCTGCGATCTTCAGTAGGCTCTATTGCTCTTAATTTTTTTTTATTAGTCTATTACAGCTTAGCCCTAAAGTAAGCACTTTTTATAGAATAGCGGATATAAATACATAATAATTATGTATATAGGTAAGTGTATTTTTTGTAGACATATATTTTATAATCAGCCATGATTTATTAGCCAAATTGATCATACACACGTTTGCCCCAACTGGATTCGAACCCAGGATCTATGAGTAGGCGACTTCTGAAACACAGTTTACATGCCACCCGTCTGACAATGATTATATTTATTAATTCACAAAATTAAATTAATAGTTGACTTACCTTATTTTAGTTCTCCTCAATTTTCCATTAATATCCTTGTCGGAACCTGCACTCGATCCACCACTCTTCATTCTATACCCCGGAGACTTCGGCTTACCCAGATAACTTGTAGACCCCATTCTACGCAAAAGCTGACTTAAAACTCCCCACGGAATGGTTAAAAATTACCCCTAGAAAATCCAAAGGAAATTTCAAACTCAGCACCTCAAACTGTTTGGTTGATTCCTTTTTTAACGTTTACCAAAAGCACGGAACAGCCGTCATTCAATTTTAGAATCTGTGCTTTCCTTCACCTCAAGAAAACGCGTTTCCGTATTTCGAATGCATCGTGTACTACAAAAGACAGACGGCGTCTAAAAAGGAATGAATTTGAAGGAACGTGACTTCCTGTTGTCCATCCTTTTCACTCTTTTGTGAAAAGCGGATATGTCGATCTCGTTTTAACTGGTAAATTTTCTTCGGGACGAAATAGACTTGGGGATATCATTCAAACCCGAACCGGTATTTATTACATTCGTACTGCTTTTCTTAGTTGTGATTTGTATCATGTACCTACCAATATTTAAAGAGTGAGTATTTTTTTTTATCTAAGTTGTTTCTATATGCATTTTTTTCCAAATGAAATAAAACAATTATACAAACACCCGTTATTTCATCGTAAGTAAATATATACGTTCATTCTATATTCCTCCTTTTTACATTCGCGACAAACACCTTAATATAATGATCATCAAAATCGGTTTAACCGCTTAAGAGCGAAAATTTAACAAACAAACACAATATAAGCTATGTACGTCTTCATTATATTAAAATATGGATAATCTTTTTTTTCGCATATAAGTAGAATTAATAATATTCTCATTCTGTAACAGCGGAATTGCAATTTCGAAATAAGTAAAATTAGCTTAAATTGGTTATGGCACTTGTAACAGTGCCGAAATATCTTAGACTCAAAAAAAAACAAAGTAAGATCAGCTAATTTGATTCCTGACCTGACAACAATTGCAAAACAATAAGATAGACTTACGCTTAAATGTACGTATCCATGGAAACAAACTTGTTATTTTCTGAACAATCATATTTGACGTAACAGATTTTGTCGCCTCCCTGTGACATCAGCCATTCTCACGACAAGCTGCTCTACTTATAATCTCTGTCACGATTTTTAATATTTATTGAATTTCTTGAAACGAATATATAAATATGAAAAAAAAAAGTTAAACTTTATGAATCTGTGCATTTGGCGCTTTAATTAACTATTTAGTTTTTGATTTATGAAATCATATACTTATGTGCGTAATAATGCGTTGAGGATGAATTTAATGTTTCATTAGTATATAATAATCATTTAACAGAAAAAAAAACAGTCATAATAGAGTAAAATTAAACAAGCGTATGGAAATTAGATAAATCGTAAACCATGCGAATGGAAATTACTTTCTTATGTTATTTAGAGCGACAGACGACGATGCAGCACTGCTAACGTATTCCTAATATGCGATATGAATAGGTATAATTTCCTTAGATAGTTAGATATTCATAATTTCTTAAAAAGTGACAGAAATTAGGAAAACTTAGAAAAAATATTTTAGATGTTGTTTTACTAAATGAAGTGTATAAACAATTGCTAGACATATTGAAAAAAAAACTGCAAAATATTGCATACTTAGTATTTATTTATCTGGACGCACAAAAATCAGGTCAGCTGGGAATGACCGACATAATACTGATGTTACATAAATTGGAGTTTTGCCCATACATTATGGATTTACTTAGTACTTCGCTAATCAAATTTTTTACTTATTTCAAGAAATCGTAAGAGTTTCTGTTATAGGTATTTACAATTTTGAAAATTATTTCGAAATATAATATATAAATAAATATATTTACGAATCTAAAAGATGATCAACATTAATACAGTTTTCTCATTATTAGAAAGTACTAAGTTCTATTACGCATTCTTTAAAGAAGATAACTTGTCTGGTTTGACATTTTCAAGCGTATAATCGGACAAGTGGGCCTCTCAACTATTTTCATTGTAAATGGTAGCACCTAGCACCTAAATGACTATTGACGCCGTAACTATTAGGTCACGGCGAAAATTTAAAAGAAATATTCTCACCCTAGCTCCCAGACTATACACCTGGTAGTGTCTTGCGTGTATCGAGCCTCCTGAAGACACAGCCATTATAGTTTTGGAGGGAAAATACCCGTTCCGAATCACGCGATACAATCTGCCGACTGTCAATAAGTATGCGTAGTACCAAACTCAATACCGTTTATTCTTTGGGCTGTAACAAGCACATAAAATCAATGTCAAGCTACGCCATCGGTTTGCAAATCTACGGCGGGAGATCTTGTACTGAGAAGAACCGGCACGAAAGATGGCTGCTGTGTTCTTCCTGTATTTAATATATTATGGGTACTAGACGTCAAGGCAAAAAATGACTTCATTTAGAGATTTTTTTATGTTTAAGGTTTATGCAGACAAATATTTTAAACCAATTACGATAGAGGAGCTCGTTGGCGCAGGTGGCTAGCGCATTCGTTGAAGTTAAGAAAACTATCGCAATGGTCGGTCATTGGATGGGTGACCAAAAATGTTCTATCTCGAGTTCCTTCGTGCTTCGGAAGGCAGGTTAAGCCGTTGGTCCCTGCTGCATCTGCAGTCGTTAGCACGCGCCAATCCGCACTAGGCCCGCGTCATGGCCCAATCTCCCTAGTCCATCCATAGGGAAGGCCTGTGCCTCAGCAGTGGAGACATACAGGCTGATATTATTGCAGACAAACGAGCTGGCAGTCCACTTGATGGTAAGTGGTCGCTGCTGCATTTAGAATCTATACAAATCATATGATTCCTTTATTAAGTTTAACCAGATCATCATCAGTCTATTAATGTCCCCACTGCTGGGCCATAGGCTTTCCCTATGGATGGAATAGGGAGCTTGGGCCATGACACACCACGCGGGTGCAGTGCGGTGCGAGTTTAGTTTTCTAGACATATTAAATTATAAAGTCAGCGTATTTTTTCATTTATTTTTTTAGTATATATAACAAAAAAATGTAGTTAAAAAACTATTAGTACTGCTGTCCTTTGGTCTGTGCACTTGTTTGTCTGCACGTTTTAAAAAAAATATATGCAATTGATTGTAATAAATCCTTTTGAATTTATTTCCACTTATACTGAGGATGAACTCTATTTCTTATCATAATTGAACTGATTAAAGATGTTAATGAAATCCAATGGAATTTATTTACTGGGTTTCTGTTTCGTGAATGTGAGGCGTGCACTTTTGGATTTTCCAAATTTATTTAGTTTTTTCCTTTGTCCAAAAATAAAACGATGCGCATATCTTTTCTTAAGACGATGTTTCGTGTAATAAATGTATGTCGTGTTGTGTTGCTCAAACTAGGTTCTAGCTGGTACCATGGTACGAATTTCGCGTGCCATCTCCCATTTCGGCTAAACTGAAAACGTATTCCACAACAATAGATCAATATTCTCCAGTTGGTTGGCTCTATATTTATAAATAACCATAGAAGGCAGTACCTGCGATATTGACTGCGTAAAATTGTAAGTTTTAAGAACAAACATACACCCGTGTCAAGTCTTGAAAGTGCCTATTATATCCAAATTAAGATTCATCGAAATCGGTTTAGCGGTGAAGATATCAAAGCCCACTCGTTCCAAAGTTTTTAATTCAAATTTAAAGGAAAATTATGTTTAAACCTCGCGCCATCTCTATTTGCCTTTAAACAATTTTATTGACAAGGATCTCCTAAACACGATTAAGCCAAAAGTTTAATTAAGAACTTAGGTACCAGAGTGCCTAAGTAAATCATCAATGTGCAATTAGCAAAGTATGATTGACTAATATACTTTCGAAATTATAATAGACGAGTATAGACTGTGATATGGAGGACATCTTTTATTTGGATCATGATATTTTCATCTTTATAAGATATTAATGTCAAATTGAAATCAAAATCGTCATCCTAAAAAGTCACATAAGAAGGAACTTATCGGCCCAGGTGTTAAGCGTGTTTGGCCTGCGTTCGTAAAAGTTAAGCAACCCTTGCAATGGACGGTGATTGGATGGCATGGGTGACCAAAAACTTACTACCCCTAATGTTATGACTTTCTTTTGCGAATGACCCTTAACTTTCACAATTGAAACAAAAAAGCAATACTTTCCTTTCGAATGTCCTAAAAAATGTTCATGTGGTTCAACTGACAATTAAATAAAGCAGGATATTTCCTGAAAAAAATTTATATTAATACAATCTTAAACTACAAATTTTCTGCTAAAATATGCAATATGAGTAAATTTTGAACACGTAAGAACTGAGGGCCCACCTACTGATTGGATTTACTTTATTTGTAGTCACTCAACATAGCTCAAATTTTTGTACGTAGTCCTACAAATTACCTTGTAAATATCATTTTCCATTCATTTTTCACCATTCATCAAAATTATTTAAATTGGTCCGATACAGTAATATGAAAGTTGATTCGTTTCGTCTGAGAGCACACATTCGGCGAGTAGTAGCGTTCGATTTAGAACAGCTACAAATTTATCGCTCGTGCTATATTTTTTTTAAAAGTCCTGTTAAATGTATATGTATACGAAACCGACATTTTCCACGGTGGTCCCTCAGAGGAAATTATAAAAAATTGTGCCTATAGTCCTTATTTTTCCATTATTTTCTTCTGCCTTCCATCTTCACCAAACTTAGGTTCAATTAGAAGTGATTGAGATATATTGATTTGAAATGTTGAATGACGTCACGTCTTAGTAGTGACGTCACGGGCCCGCACACCCAATTTTTTGTCACAATTTAGGTTTTGTGACAAAAGAAAAAATAAGTAGTAAGGTTCAGTACCATCTTTGACCTATTGGAGGCCCTGGGCATATTAAGATAATGGGGCCCCTATGACTTACGTTTTGTGATTTAACAGGAACTAGGGACTTTGTATTTGATCTGATGGGGCCCCCTATCGCGGGGCCCTGGGCACTTGGCCAAAGTGCCCACTGGGAAAGACGGGTCTGGCAAGGTTTAAGTTTAAAATAAAGGAAACACTCATTAAAATAATTCATTTTTATTATTGTTATCAAAGACTACTTACTTACTTACTTTGATAAAATGATTACTGAAAATAGAATTAGTAATACTTACAAATAGTAAAATGTTACTACAGAACCTTATTATAGTCGTTCACAACTGCGATTGAACACTCGTTATTAAATATTTTTGTTAGGATTCGACCCACAAATTCTTATTATGGGCACGGATGGAATAGGTGATGAAAATAATTAAAACTTCGTATGTCAGAGTCACATATTTCAAATGCAATTTTAAAATAAAATTATCGGATTTTACTAACAAAGGCTATCACTAATTTTTGAAATTATTGGACAATTTTTACAGTTTTCTCTAACCTAAAAATCTGGTGCGCGTACTCAATGTAGAAAATTAACACATTTATAAGAAATTATTTAAGTAAAAATATTAAACGTATGAAATCAATTACAGTGTGATTAAATTACTCACTTCGACTACAAGATTGTTAGTAGAATGCACTTCACTAATACTCTTTTGTCATTGATTCTGACAATGTGATCGGCAATCTTGTCTTTAACTAATAATGCCTTTTTTTTTAAGTCGGTTAAAAACTGGACAGAACCGAACGTGACTTTCTTTCGGGTAGGGGTTAGATGTGTTAAGTGTATTATTAACTTATTCAACTAACAGTCTCCACAAATTAAGTAAGTATGCGCTTAATTAAAAGTTAAAAGAAAACTTATTTCGTCACGTATTTCTGCAACTGGACTATCTATGTATAATAAATCATCTTCGCAGTTTACAACAAATATTCTATTTAAAACATTCAACGATGAAACAGCAACATACGGCATTGTATTAGTATAAAAATAATACTAGAACTTCCTACTTTTTGGTGTTAGTAGACATCACCTACGTAACAAAAAAAAACTTAATCTAAAAATAAATATCGCTTTAAGTAAATCGAACAATTGCACGAAATCATAATTTTCAAACCTTCATAATAAAAATAATAAAGTTGTAGAAAACTAATATAAAAAAATATAATGGATAGAATTCTAAGAAATATGATTAGTTCTGCTCTTGCACAGATCGCCATAGATCATATCAATGTGTGTCATTTATTTATTTATATTATTATAACATAATTTCTACTAAGTACAATTTTTATTATCAAGGGTGTAAATATAACTAATGAGATATTTTTAATGGCACTTTCGAAAAAATACATAGCAAAATAAAGCATTTTATTCGTTAACTTCTACATTTGTGTAGGTGTGTGTGAATGCTTCATTTTGTGCGCACTGAAACTTGCCAAATATAATATAATTCATCTTGTATATGGCACAAGATATCAAAGCTCAAAGAGGTTTGATTGAAAAATATTTACAATGTTAACATTAATTGATATTTTTAAAATGATATTAGTCTAAGTCAACATTACATTGAGGGAATTCAAAAAGTGGAGTACAAAAACAGACGGAATTTCAACATTTTAAATGCATACAGTTATCACTCAGGAAAGCTCATTGGAATTTGTTCACAACTTGTTTGACCCAGCTGCCTTTAGGATCCAAATCTTTAGGTTCAGATGTGGATACTTCTTCTGTATTTTTCTTAAGAGGAATGTTATCTATAACTGTGGGTTTTAATGAAATTGCAACATTTGTGTCTTTAGTTGGACTGTCACTTAGACTCCTTTGAAAATTTTCTACTTTAGTAGATATAGGCTTAGGCCTCTGTAAAGGTTTTTTAATACTTTGACCAGGTTTTGCCGTTTGACTCTTAGAGAGTAATTCTATTTCCATTCGCCTTTCTAAGACGGATTTGCTTGCTATTTTTGGGGCTTCATTCGCTCTTTTTATCTCATTAGTTCTAATTTTGCGAGTAGCTGAGTCAAGACTAGCTCTTTCGTAGCTTAATCTTTTCATTTGAATATTTCCATGTGGTTTCAATGTATTCATATCTTCTTGGACAGTTTTCATGTCATTCGGCTTAGTTATATCGACGACATCTTCACCGCAGTTATTTTGTTCTTCGTTTGGTGTTGATTCCGATCTTACAACTGATTGTTTTAAGTTTATACTACGCCTAATACATTTTGTATTAACAGACTCAGAAGATGAAGATCGTCCTTGGCTCTTGATAATATTAACTTTATTAAAGCCAGCCGGTTTTAAGTGAACGCTAGAAAATGCAGGAATATTAGAAATTTTAGGCTTAGCCGGAACCGGAGGTGCTATCTTGGATTTTAAGTTATCTCCATCCTTCTTTTGAATATTTTCAGTAGGTTTCGCTTTATTTATGGCGACTGGTAGTCTGTTGTTCACGCTCGTTCTTTCACTAACGTTTGAAGTCACTGTAGTCCTTTTAGCTCTGAATGAAGCTTCTCTTTTAATACTTTCTACCCGGGTTATAATTTTATTAACTTTAGTCGAAGTTTCTGACTTTATTTCTTCTGTATCCTCTTGGTCAGAGTAAACTGCTGAATCTCTAAATACATCTTCATCGGTCATATGCTCAATCTTTTCAAATGTTTTCTCATAGAAGTTTTCATCAGATATGGTGTTTGTGGGAGATTCAATCAAATTATCGCTTTCTTTAGCCATTGATGTTGTATTTGTCTTTTGATTATCATGATATGTACCTTCGCTTGATGAAGTTACAAAAGAAGAGTTAGAAAATAAACTATCAGGTCTTACAGCATTTTTATTTATCAATACATTGACATTTTTAAATGCAGACTTTTCACAAACTAGTGTCAAAGGATCAACATAATCTGATTGTGCTATTCTGGCACCCAAGTGCTTACTACCTTGCATGTAGATAGGTAATTTATTTGAATTCTGATAAGCACTATTATTAGATTTAGAAGGTGATGAAGTGCTGCTAATCGAGCTTGATATGTTTGTAACCATACTAAATTTTTTTTCATATGAAGGTTTGATGTGATCATGTTTCGGTGAAATGTCATCACAACTATGAGAAAGTTTATCCGAGTTATTTTTTTCATTTTGACTTTCAGTAAGTGTAGTGTGCTCATACGCGCTCTTACTTATAGCATCGTTTTTTATTGAGTTTGTAACTGAGGTAGTTGCACTTACATCGGTAGAAGTTATACAAACTTGAATGTCATTTTTCAATAAATTATTTTGTACATCTTCTGTTGTTATTTCTTTTCTAATCACTGTTTTATTATGATTATCATCAGCGTGCTCATCACCTATGATACTTTTGAATCTTTGAAGTAAGTTTTTGGAATAACTTCTTGGATTTAATGCCGACCGTTTTTCACTTGACGGACTTTTTAAGTCCGACCTTACACTGTCAGGACTACTTTGTTCATTTGCATTTATTTCGCTGTCATCACTAGTTTTATTTGGAGTTTTGTTCTTGAAACGACTCAATACATTTCTAAGTGAAAGTAAGTTACTAGTTGGCTTATATATTTTATGTTCAGGATGTATCACTTCTTTTTCATGTTGTGTATTTTCAGCATGCTCTACTGGTAACACTTCACAAGATGAAGTAGTGGAAGTATTTAAATTTGGTTGAGACACTGTCAATAGATCTTCATCTTTATTTTTATTTAAGTCGATTTCTGCAAAACTTCTTTTATAGCATCGGTCGATTTCTTCTTCTAATTCTAAAGTTGATTGACTAATATTCTGATGATATTCACTATCATTGGTCTTTGAACTTTTGTTGAATTTGAGAATATCACCATCGCTCATATAATTTTCAACATCATCGTAACTGATTTCACTTTTATCTGAAGCAATAGTAAATGGACGATCAGTACTCATAACCTTTCCATCTCTGTTCAAGTAGGTTTTACTATTACTATTGGGCTTACATTTAAAAGTATTTAAATTACTTTCTTCTTGAGTTGTTGTTACCACCTGAAAACTTCTAGGGAGTGAGCCAGATTTCCTGTCCCTTGATACATTAAAATGTTCTTTTTGCCTGCTCAACCAAATTTCTGGCGTATTAGGGCTTTGTTGATCTGCACTCATAGGTAAATAGTCATTTGCTACAGTATTGGATATATCCTTCTTTCGTCTAAACACCTCAACCAAACTATCATACAGATTTTCATACACATTAGGTGGACCCTGTTGTTCCATTGTTACATAATCATCAGTTTTTATTGCCTTTTCAACTTTCTCTGGGGACTTAATAGGGATGTCGTATATTCCATCAGCATCTTGAGTATTTAGCTTATCAAAGGACAAGTATACATAATCAGATTCTGGATTAGTCATTTTAATATCTGGAATATATGGACCAGGGTTGGGTGATGAAGATGAACGTTTAGTTTTCGTCTGTAAATGACTTGGAACTGGTTTATTTTTAGTTTTCGGTGATTGTAAATTTTCTTCGTTTTTGTTTATTACTCTTAAAGTTTCATATATATGATCGTCATCGGACAAAACTTCCACTTCTAACTTTGAAGCAAATGAAATTAGTTCTTGATCATCAGGTTTATTTAACTCTAAATTTTCAGATGTTTGTCTGCCGTATTTAGGTTTCAATTTTAGCGATTCAGCGTTACGTGCGAGTATTACATGTTCAGGATTCGAATGAGATTTTAGTAAACGCTGATGTCTTCGTTGTGCACTGTTTCTTTGTTGTTGTTTTTTCAGAAGTTTTTGGAACTCCCTATTTTGCATTAACAATTGTGATATTATTTGTTCCAATGGTTGTTCTATTTCTTCACCACTTTCATGAATTTCTTCACGAACTCCATCATTTTCATTTGGTTTATCTTCAACTTCTGATAATTCCGTAATTACTTTCTGTTGATTTAAATATTTCACTTTTTCTAATTCGTTCTTTTTGAAGGAGTCAGTTTTTTCAATTAATTTTTTGTAAGTTTCTTCATCAATATCGTCATCTTTACATAATTGTGTCTGTACCAAAACTTCTGAAACTTCTTTCGATTTGTCTGTATTTAAACTGTCGTTAGATTCTGATATGTGAAGAATATTTTCAGTTGACACATCAGTTGAGAAATCAGCATAGAATTTCGCTGTGGTATCTGAACCAAGACGTAAGCCTTTTGCTCTATTTTTCTTTAACCTAGAAATTTTCTTTGGTATGTTCTTAGTGTTATACATTCGGACTTCTATACCTAACTTTGTAGAACCTCCCCTTTTCTTGTTTTCTAGTTCGAGGTCGGAAATAATAGTACTGTCAACAGACTTTAATTTTCGTGTTATTTTGTTTGACCCACAGTTTCTGCATTTAAATTCTATTTTTTCGCAACCTCGTGGTTCATTTTTCTCACTATCACTGTCCAGAGATTTTTTCAAAATCACGTTGTTTTGCTGTAATCCAGGCTCCGATTTGCGTCGCCATGTTCCTATTTTGGATAATTTTGATCTTTGTGGATCGTCTTTCGATTTTGAACGCAATGTGTCCGTCTTGTAGTTATCACTGTCAGCACATCTGGATTTTCTCGTAACATGCAAAGTACTAGAAGTTTCAGTGACAGCTATATTTTCTTTGATTTTTTCACATTTTAGGCATGTTTTTGGAAGATTCCTAACGTTGATCAAAGAATTGTTAGTGTCGCTTAAATCTTCTCTGCTTTTACTGTTTTCTGTATAACCAATGATATTGTCAGATGAATGATATCCTCTAGTTTTGTTGAGGGATCCAGAGAATTCCTTATTGAAGCTTTCTTGTGATGATTTAAAGTCTGAACACTTGCAATCGGATTGCTTCCTTTCTAACCGTTCAGCGCTTCCTGAATCTATGAAATGTAACGACCTGTCGCATTCGGGACATTTCTCCCCGACTATTTCACCTTCTTCGTGTCTGCAGCCACATTTTGTGGCTCTCTCTTTGGATTTGGTTAATTCAATTTCACAATCAGAACACAGATCAACATAACAATTGTCACAAGTGTAGTCGATGCCTTTTTCGAGTGAAACTTGTAAACAGTCACATTCTTGACTCGATTCGGGTCTGGAAACGGGGACTGTGTATTTTCTATTAACCTTTTTTAGACGGCCTCTTATCCCGTTCTCAAAGGATTTTCTCCTTTCCCTATCCATCTTCCTTTTCTCGAGGTATTCTGGAGCTGATAATTGCTTCCTCATGGAAGCTTGAGTTATCAGGTTATGGGATTTCTCGGCGAGCATGTCATCTGCAATGAAAAGAAAATAGTTAGTGATCTTTCTCAAATTCAGTAACATTTAATTGATCCCCACATTTTAATCTTAATGTGAATTCAATAAAGTACAAAAATATTTATCATAATTTTCACTAAGTAACTTTTGTATTTACTCACCATCAGTTTTATTTTGACCTAATTCCATGACAAGTTGACGGGCGTGAGACGGAATAACTGCATTGTAGTTTTCTAATATTACCTGTAAAACAGAAAACATTTCCACATTAAACAATTGTTACATTATTACCTTGCAATAAAAATACGACATAAAAAAAAATGTGATATGGTGAAATTAACTTTGCTATGTGTTTAGCCAAACGGTATGTTGGTGAATCAATCTGGTTTACAATCGAACGCAGCGGAGTATTCGGTTTGTGTATTTTCGGCAACCCATTTTGGTGGTTTGGGACATGCAGGAATAAGGAAGTTGATGTCGAGATCCAACGTTTCGGAAAGTTATTTAATGAGTTCACTTGTCTTTTTGAGGATCTTGGTGGTCGGATCACTCTTCACAAGTTTATATGTGTTCTCATTCAACAGAAGTTGTAATATCTTATCGTTGTAATCTGGCGTATCCATTACTACCGTAGCGTTTCTTTTATCTGCACAAAGAATGCTAAGTTCTGATATTGTTCTGAAGGTGTCAGTGTCTCATTACAAAATTCCCCAAAAAAGTAAGTAAGGCGTAATCAATTTTCTTACCGATTGCAGCATTGCGATGAAGAATTCATAAATAAAGAATTCCCCTGCAGCGAAAGATGATACATAGCATTATGGCCTCACCCGCTTCACCAATAGGTTCGACCCTCGCTCGTGTCTTGTAGCGGACCCTGGCTCCCGCAGGGTGACGTGGAAAATGGTTCATAGCATTCTGGCCTCACCCGCTACAGTAATTAGATCCACTCTCGCTTGTATCCTGCAGCGTGGCCTGGCTCTCGCAGGGTGACGTGGAGGATGGTTCATAACATTATGGCCTCACCTGCTTCACCAATAAGGTCCACTCTCGCTTGTGTCCTGCAGCGTAGCCTGGCTCCCGCGGGATAAAGTAGAGCATAGTTCATAGCATTATGGCCTCACCCGCTTCAGCAATAAGGTCCACTCTTGTGTCCTGCAGCGTAGCCTAACTCCCGCGGAGTGACGTGGAGGACGGTTCATAGCATTATGACCTCACCTACTTCAGCAATAAGGTCCACTCTCGCTTGTGTCCTGCAGCGTAGCCTGGCGCCCGCAGGGTGACGTGGAGAATGGTTTATAGCATTATGCCCTCACCCGTTTCAGCAATAAGGTCCACTCTCGCTTGTGTCCTACAGCGTAGCCTGGCTCCCACGGGGTGACGTAGAGAATGGTTTATAGCATTATAGCCTCACCCGCTTCAGCAATAAGGTCCACTCTCCCTTGTGTCCTACAGCGTAGGCTGGCGCCCGCGGGGTGACGTGGAGAATGGTTTATAGCATTATGGCCTCACCCGCTTCAGCAATAAGGTCCATTCTCGCTTGTGTCGTGGAGAGCGCGCCTGCAGCGTGGCCTGGGCGCGCGGCGCGTCCCACGGGATCACGTGAAAGGAGAGCGGCGCACCCGCTATGGACTCCACTAGCATCATGTTGTTGCACTGAAAAGGAAATTATTATTTATGGTAAAAAAATGTGCACAGACCACACATCTGAAGTGAAACTACTTTTATTAAATAACCTAATTTTAGGCGGTGCATAGGTCATAGAGGAATGTAGCATCGCACGCATCACTCATACACTCGTACATGTACTGTAAATGATTGCGATACTCAAACTAAAGGTGAAGAAAATGGAGAAGCTAGTGTTGATTATTAGTTCATTTGTCACTGTGACAGAAAGTAAATCACAATCAGACAGCGAGTACATCCCCGATAAAAGCATAGAATCTTCACCTTAAAGCAACATTACAGTCAGAACAAGAATACAATATTATATGAGACAAAACAAAGAAGATAGCTTTTACCATTGTTTTGAAAACCAATTGTTGGACAATGAAATCCTTAATAACTATGAAGAAACCATGAAGTCAGTTGATTCTTCAAGATTGATGAAATCATAAAGGAAGAACTCAATGCTCATCAACAAAATAACACATGGACATTGGTTGACAAAACCCCTGATACGCGAATAATTGGATATAAATATGTATTTCGGATTAAGGAAGAATCTTCTGGTCCACGCTACAAGTCCCGACTACCATAAAACATAAGTTTAATTTTTCCATTTAAACCCTCTCAGAAAAGAAGTTTCACTACACAATTCACTTGGTATGCCTATCTCTTTTACATAATTGTTAAAAAAAATGGAGAATTAATCAAAATATTTTGCTTACCATAATATGGGATTTGTACGCCAGTATGCCATCTTCTCTATTTTTGGTGACGAGCAACATCTTGTCGAAGAGAAACACGTGTCGCATGCCTTTCGCGCCGAGCACTCTGTGAACGAACGGAAGAAACGTTTGTATATTAGCGACATCTATAAACAAAACACATGTAACTTTATACAGAAAGGTAGCAAGACTCCCGCCTGACCAACAGATGGCGCGAATCATGTAAGACACACAGTATACAGCAAACACTAATGAAGTCAAATCTAAAGATTTTTTTCTAATGGACTTGAGGAGCAATTCCTACTAATCTCTCCCTCTAGTCCGATAATATCGTGCGTGCAACCAGCTGAAGTGTAAAAGAAGCGAAACGACTGAGCGACCAGTACCCCTAGCACGAACCAATATCGAATTCGTATCGTTTGCGAGTACGAAATGTCATTGTCAAATATGTACTGATTTTTAAGTTCTTTTTACGTACGTTGTGGCGCTGCTGTTCAAGTTTTCGTACAAAATTTGACATTGACATTTCGCACTCGTAAACTATTCGAATTCGGTTGTAGCTGCTTCGCGTAGATTTGTATGAAAGTTTATATTCAAAAATTTGCAATTAAAAACGTATTTACCTGAAAGTTCCTTCGGCGCATAACTCTCCATAAGTTGTCAAATCGGGGCCATTCCATCCGTATAAAAGAGACTGGATCTCCTGCAAAATCAATTTATAATGTCTCTGTTAGATTCCCTCTCATTAATTTGTTTATGTTAAAGCAGGACGAAAAAGCAACTATGGGCTATTTTTGCGCTCAAGAAACTCAAGCTCAAGTCACTAGAACCTATAAGCGCTTGCAGTAGGTATTGTGCAATTCAAACTTAATGGCACCTGTAAAGTTAGCGAAAGTAACGCACAATAAAACCATAGGGCAGAGAATCACCAGAGCGTTCCTAATCCATCGATAAAAGAACACTGAGCAGATAAGTGTAAAAGAGACGAGGCGATCGTGCGGCCAATAGTTAGTATGCTGCAGCCCATACATATACGAACTACATAACTAAGCTGTCTTTCTACTCTCAAGAAGAAGATGACATTTAAAGAGTTGTCAATTTCATACCGTCCAGTCCTCACTCCATCCATTCTCTATCTACATCTATGTCTGATATCTACGCATTCCCGGACAGTCTTTGTGACAAAAATGTCCAGACTTTTATACAGGTCAGTCTTTGTGACTACAATGTCCAGACTTTTATACAGGTCAGTCTTTGTGACTAAAATATCCAGACTTTTATACAAAACAGTCTTTGTGACAAAAATGTCCGGATTTACACGAAAACACCAAATAATTTACAAGATTTTCTAAATTTGTTAATGGTTACCCCTACCTGTACTCTGACCGCATGCTCGTGCCTTCTCTTCATGTCGTCGATGTGTTGAGCGATGCCAGTCATCTTGAGTAGTGCATACTCCGTATCGCTGGAAGCGCATTGCTTAACTACATTCTGTAATGCAACGTTAACTCTTAAACATGAGCTAAAAGATGGCCTGACAGATGGTAGGTAGGAACAATTCAAAAGAGATTTTAATAAGTCAGCTATTAAAACCACAGTGCTTAGGCTCCTTCTGGGTAAGCTCGCCACATCGAAGATCCTATCTCTGCTCCCGGTCGGATAGAGGATCAAGAGCTCACATATAAACAAATAAAAAAATTAATTAAGTTTATTTTCATTTCATTAAGTTCTAAATTACAATGTCAGATAACTTCATCGACGTTTTAACTCGGTAACGGTATAGCTTTAGAGGTGTATTGTTCATAGTCAAGTTTATTGCTTTAACCATTGGTTGCTATAGTTTATGGCATCTTCATAAGATTTAGTGCCGACCATTATGAAAGCTATATTGCTTTGACACCTTTGACACCTTTGAGACTTTATGCACAAAGTATTGGTAGGTCTATAGACCTGTAGACCTATTCGCTAACGGTTTTTACAGATGGAAGTAATAATCAATGAGCTATTTACTGCTGATCCACTACTGCTTTATTAAATCGTCACTAAGATACTTATTATAATTTTCTCTTTAGTTACATACTGTAAATGTCAAACAAATTGGCGAATAGGCCAACAGGTAAAGTGAAGCTTTTGAAAAGTTCATTGACATTATTTTCAATAAAACCTGACAATTGTTTTGAACTTTCATGGTCAATAACATTACAGTAATTAACGGGATTGTTTCCATTTACATGCCTTTTTTTTGGGAGTCTACAATATTTTGTCAATGTTGCAAGTGCGGAAAATCGCGCAGTAACTCTTCATGGCACTTGCAACATTGCTAAAATATCAGAGCCTCGCAATAACCAAGATATATGTTAAAAATCCCGTTGATTACTATAATAAAACCTTAAAATTTCAGTCAGTTTATCAAAAAATATTGGACGCGTATTTTTCATTTTTAACAGAGATATATTGATTTGAAATATCGCATGACGTCACGTATTACTACAGTTTGTACTTAGAATTGATGTCATGACTCCCAAAATTTGAAGCGCTTTATCTTTGACACTTTCTGGTTGATTGACAAAATATAAAAATCTTATCTTTTGATGATTTAAATTACGGACTAATTAAAATTTCGTTGATTTTAGCCCGTCATCATTCCTATTGTAAATCCCTCGCGAAATTTTTCGTTCTCACCTGAAGCAACAAATGGTACTTCAGAATCCTCTGTACAGGTTTCAGTAAATACGATGCCAATGGTAACGGGTGTCCTAACGCCAGCTGCCTCTCTCTGAACTCCCTGGCGCTCTGCGGCTTGGATGCCAGAGCAGCCAATCGCTCCATAGTCCGAGGATAGCCGGTACAGTATGAAGTGTACACGGAGAAACCGGTAGTGTTGTTAACGAAACACCGAGCGATGCAAGTAGCGTCTAAACGACAAGTATTCAACTCCTCGCATAGTGATCTGGAAAAAAAAAATTAAACATTGAAGTACATAATTGATAACTAAATATTCTAAAACTAAGTTTTCCGCCGTTTCGAACTAGAATTGAATAGCTGTATCCATCCAAACGGTCTTGAATAAACAACAGACGTTATGGAAAATATGCTGTTTATGACCTGACAAGAAACTTGTCAAGTATATAACTGTTAATATTTCATACAGTGATTGTATAGTGTAAAGAACAAAGCAGTATGAAAAGCCACTTCTGAGTAAATCAAGTTCGCAAATTGGCAACAAACTGCGGTGCTTGTGTGTTAAATGTAACCAAGGACAACAAAGTCAAATTCATCAAATGCGCAAGCGCACATTTAAAAGCTCTTATTTCCAAGCGAGCAGTCACTGAAGAATTCCCATTACATTTTAAAATCCTGTCAAAGTAATACCTACGCTTGAACACACCGATTCTAAAACAATCGCAAGCCATTGTTTTTGTTACATTTTACGACTTCGCCACAGAAACTCGAACGAAAACGTGCCCGCTCAAAAGGCTTAATGATTTGCCAACCATTTTTCATTTCACCTTCGTCACTTTTACGAACCCAATTCTCATAAGGAATGGCATTCGTTGCCTTAATAAAGGTAGGCATTTTTTTCTGCCGTCCTTTTGATTGAGCCGTAAAACTTAACTGCGTTTACACGGTGCGAATGCGAATTTATAATCGTACACTGACGTGTGTTACAAATGCTATAAACACCCTAAAATGTAATCTTTTAAACAGTTTGAGACCTAATATAGCCGGTGAAATCTCCCCAACCGAAACATGTCAAGTGTGCTTGGCAGTTTATGACGTACAAATGATCCCTCTAAAAACATGTATGAAACAAATCGAAATCAATAACCATATCACGAAATTAAATTCATAGTAACAAAAAAACAGAACGCCCATTGCCTCAATTTATATATAACTCAACCTTCATAAATATTAACCACAGATTTATATCTCATTACATGCCCTGCTTAACTCGATATCACGGTGTTAAATGTCCCTTATATATACGACCACATGGTAGCGTAAAATGTTGCCAATTTATAACTTTGCTTATGCAACCTCAATCGGAGTACCGCAAGGAGCTATATTAGGACTCAAACTTTTTAAAAGATTTCATTACAGGATGTTTATAACATTTTGTAACACACGTCAATGTACGAATATAAATTTGCAATAAGTAGTATTATGGGTATGCATGGCTCATACTGGTCATGAAAATCACATAAATCAATATTTTTAAAAACAGCTGGTCCGCAGCAACTTAATAGCACTCATGTTATACTCGAGGTAATTAGCCGGTGAAATTCCCCCAACTAAGACGTGTTTGGTATGCTTGGCATTTGCTCTTGCCGTGTATTAAAATCATTCAAATATTTGGGATCTATGTTTGTTAATCATTATAATTATCGTAATTCTCAAAATAATTGTATTACTTCAAGTGTCGTTTCACACGTGAACTAGTAATAAAGTAACATTAAACAGTTCCATCTCATTTGTTTCAAATGTGCCGATTATTTTCTAAAAAAATAATCTTGCTTGTATTTTAAGTATAACTACTTGAATTCTAGAACGCGTGAAAGGTGGGTTACCTTGTTTTAGGTAATTATAAATTTTATTGTATATCTAGGAAAGTTAAAAATCTCTCAAATTGAGATATACACGTTAAATGTGACTAGGGAACACGTATTTTTGCAGTAAATTTAAGTTAATAACGAACAAATTATATTATTTATTTTTTAAGCATTTAACTGCTACTCGTAGATGTTTAAATATAAGGAAAAATCAGAAACGAACGTATTCTAAATTTTGATAAAAGTAAGAATAATTGCAGTTTTTGTATTTCCATATATTGTAGGAAATCAATTTTTACAACGTGCTTTGCGTACTTGGTCCATAAACACTTTTGATGTGCACATTTTATAAATTATGTTTTCTGTTATTTTGCTTAATATTCAGTTTATAAAATATCAAATACATACATTGTACGCCGCAGAATTTCAATAAAATTAAAAATATTACAATAGAATCTACTAAAGACCTCCCACAGAGTACCAGGGGCGCATAAGTCGTATGTAACTTAATACTGTGAAATCTCGCGGCCGATCTCACCCCACTGTCGAGGGGAACTATTTGTCAGCTGTACAATACAGACGATAACATACACACTTTGAGCTATACTGGGCACCACCATTAGCTACTATAAAAAGTAACGCGTGTTAGACAGTTAAATCATCATTGGGTTCCGGAGTAAAGAATAAAATTCCATCTACAGTCCCTGTAGACGGAATTTTATTATTTTAATAAATAGAGCAATGCACATTATATTCACGATATACATACTTGTTTTGACTTATGGTAAATAAAATAACAATATGAAATGTTAAATACAGATGTTATCAAAAAAAAGCTAACCCGGCAAAATATGTAAAACGCGACAGTGCGGTTTTGTAACGCCGTCTGAAGTCCGAAGTCCATAGCATCAGATTAACAATAAATCGTTAGGAAAAATTTAAAAAAATGCGCCAAAAGAAAAGCCTAAATTTTGTATTAGCCGAAATGAATAGTTAAATGAAATGAGCCCAGACAATAATTCCAAAGTTATGCTAGCTATTAATAATACGAATAAACACCATCAATACAGCAGGTGGGAATGCTTCATAGCACTCACACTTCATGCTATAATCATACCTTGATTATCCATCAGCTGTATTTGTAAACATTAATGTCGATTCATAACATTGAGCATTCTTCAGGCTCATCTATTTAACTATGTATGAAAGGATTTATTAAGGAATGTTAAAGATTTGATGGGAATTCTAATTTTAGAATATATCGTACCGTTATCTGTTTCATCTATTCGTACGTATTCGTTATTCAACCTTTGATTTATTTATCAAAGTATTGAAAATGTAATTCATCACTAGGAATTTAAGTAGTAGGAATATCAGAAATTGTTATAATCGCTATATAAAATCGACCGCAATGTAAATTGATCCGATTACATAATATTAATTAACAATTGTAGCGGTAAGTCAATTATGATAACCAAATTAAAAAGTAATTTAAAGACGAGATTAAAATTGAAAGTAACTGTCAGCCGAAGCCAATTTCTAATTCTGTATTCCGTACCAAATTTTCGTCTAGCTACCACACTAATGGCAAAATGAAATTCTTCGCACAATATGATTTACGCGTCTTTTACATATTTTATAAACACAAAAACGTTGTGTGGGAGTTACGGCCACTATTTTTTATGGAACCCCAGAAACCCTACCCTCACATTTTGACAGTCCCTCGCTATTATTTTAACACCCTTCCGTGGAGGGATGGATTATTGCTGAGTTTCTTTATTGCTGACTGTGACGGACATGTTTTCTTTTATTTAGTAATTTTCATCTTTGCCATTTATTATGTAATTTTTCTTATTGTTGTTATGGGCTAAGGTTAAAACTGTTTATCTGGGAAAAGCTTCTTTATAGCATTCAATTTTCAAGATAACTATTATGCGTGTTTTAGATGTTTATGCCTGGTATATTAACTTCGATTTGGTTAAGAACAGTGTGGTTTAAAAAAATACTTTGTGATTATAAATCTTTTGTTTCATAACCAACGATATTAAAAACTCTCATATAACATTTGATGGGTGCACAGAGGTTAGAAGATATTGATTAAAAGCTAGTTTTAAGTAAATACATCTCGGCCAAGACGTTACCGGTTTTAATGATAAACATTCATTTTAAACAAACTTCTTACCTATTTTCGTACCAGTTCCATCATTATAAATTATAAATTTTATTCTGTATAGATTTGTGATTATGCAAATTAATAGATAAGCACTCCTAACACGAACCATTATCGTATTCGAATAGATTGCGAGTGCGAAATGTCATTGTCAAATGTGTACTGATTTTTAGTTCTCGTTTCGTCCATTATAGCGCTGCAGTTCAAGTTTGCATACAAAATTTGACATTGACATTTCGGACTCGCAAACTATTCGAATTCGATATTGGTTTGTGCTAAGGGTACAGTTCTATTGCAGTACCACCGACGGATACAATTATTTTATAAGTTATTTCGTTGGTAATCCCATCACATTATAAGGTTATCTTATTAAGTTAAATAAAGACAAATGGTGTAAAGTAATATGGGGTTAAATTCAACTAACCTGTTGAAAGCGTAAATGTCTTCTATGTTATTGAAAAGTTCAGACAGCTCCTCGTCTGAGAAAGTAGTCTGTTTCCGCCAGATGTGGAGGTATCCCTGCAACAAGGATTTTGTTTTAGCTACAGATACACATTATTAACACCATTCTGGACTGGGAGGGAAATAAAATTAAGAGTAGTTTATAAGAAAGAAGTTCTTTAAATTTCGTTCCGTTTTGAAGTTATCAACATCTAAAGTTTCATTACAGTGTCAATCAAATTGAGATGAAACTTTACCAATAAAATTATAATATTAATCTAGGTAATTTTCTAATATAACTTCAAGTAGATTTAATGTAAATCCGTAGGTAATATTTTTGATATAGAATATCCCATTTATTCAGCTGTGCAATTGTTTTATTCATTCTGTATACATAAATAATATGGTAACCAAAACTAATAGTTTTGGATACTGTACCCCTAGCACGAACCATTATCGAATCAGAATAGTTTGCGAGTGCGAAATATCAGTGTCAAATTTTGTGTGGAAACTTGAACAGCAGCACCACAGAGATCGTAACGAGAATTAAAAATCAGTACACATTTGACATTGACATTTCGGACTCGCAAACGATACGAATTCGATATTGGTTCGTGATAGGGGTACTGTTGTAACACGCTGCCAAACTATCGGCTCTAGACAAACACTTTAACTGGCAGTTAACGTCTCGCTTTAAACACACCTTTAATTTTTATTATAAAAGTAATGTGCGCGGAGGCGTAAAGAAACAATTACATAAGTCTTTACAAAAAAAACGCAACACGTAAAAAATGGTAGAAAACATAAAAACAAAGTGCCAGGGTAATTATAGACGCAGGATACTCGTTCTACTTTCTGATTTCATTATACTTAATCTGGTATGTTCTTTCTACACGAATTTGAGCTGCCTGGGTTGCATTTGAATTAAGCTTTGTTAACTGCTAAGTCGCATTTACACACACCACGGCTCGCCAAACGTTGGCATATGTTTTGCGAACAAATTAGATAGTCAGTGGATAATCCAAAAAAAAATTACATCGATGACGGGGCAAGTTTTCTCCAAAAGAAGAAATTAAAATTATTATTTAAATTATTAATTTACGCTATAAATAGATTTGGGATATGCGAACTCGGAAATGCACACGCAAGCACTCTGACCAACGAACTAGGAATAATTATGTAATGCGAATTGCGCTAATAGTGAGTACTACTCACGCAAACTGCGATCAAGTGGGCGAGCCGAAACAAATGCAATCAATACGCCGATCATGTGATTGGTTGGGATTTCCGTTTATCATTATCTCAGCCAATGAATGGATAGCCAAATTAATTTATTGTTGTGTTGTCAAAATATTTTGTTTTTTCTGTGCGTGTCGCGTTAGTACTGAAGTTTAGATGTATGAGTTTGGAACCATGTTTTAACGAGCCTTTATTAGAGAATAATGCGTATATAATCATTTCTAATTCATTAACTCTGACTGACTTTTTACGAGAATGAACGCAAGCAGAAACAACTAACATCCTACAACCTAATTCCATTTTTTCTCAGGAAAAACAATTATATTCATCTGAATCGCAATACTTTAGCCCTACTTATTAACTAAATAAACTATACTATTATTAAAAGTTCTAATAAGCAGCCCTGCCAGGAAAGCTGCGCTGTTATGGTGGGAATATTTCCCTCCCTCAGTAATGGCATGAAGCTGAGGCAAGGCCCTGATTAGCCCTTCTTCTTTTACCATATTGCTTAAAATCTAAAGAAAAAAATAGTATAAAAAATTTAATGCGGACCAGGCAGCAGACCGGACGGGATTTTGTTGTTCTCTGTTTTGTTTTTATATTTATTGGTTTTAATGTGTGTGTGTGTGTGTGTATATAAGGCCAATAAATGCTTTCCTTTCTTTCTTTCAGTAGCAAGCCGTCGAGAGCGGCGAACCAACGCCGACTCAAAGTCAACTCGCTCGTAAATGCACGCGTGTATGTAAATGCAGCCTCATCTAGGAGACCCGATGTAACGCGATACGCCGCACGCGCCGTAGAAAGTCTCTACTCACTGATACCAGTGATAATAATATCAATGTCACGAACCGATCCCCTTACAAGGAGCGACCAGATAATTTCCTCTTTAATCAACATTGAATGGGATATTTAAATTAGAGATAAGCAAAACTTTCAGATGCGATAGCTCCTGTATGTGAGTCGGTACTTAATATATTTTTTTATCGTGACTGCATTATATATGCATACGTTTACGGAATACGTTAAGTGAACGGGTGTACCCAACTTTAACCAACCAACAATAATCGCTTGTTTTTACTTCTCTGATTCGACTCGGGTATCTTTGTCGAGAATTAAGACAAATATTTTAATTTCTTGAAATAAATTGAATAACAGACTAACAATTTTTTTTACTTATATCTATTTTGTGCATACCCAAACCCTTATGCGTGCAGAGATAGAAATAAAAAAAAACAGCCAAGCCAGAAAATAAGTACTACTCAGAAAACAATAATAAAAAAATAAATAGAATGTATATCATTCCAACATTTGATCGTTTTTTGCTTTGTTGTGTAAACGTTTAAGTTAAGCTACTCGAAAGTAAGTGACGAGACTTTACTTAAGTATGTATCATATCATCATCAACAGAAACAAACACGGAAATTTTACTCGCAACACCGGAATTCGAACTCGGGACTTTTGAAACAGAAAACATAACTACTTCCATTCTACGAACCGCTCATCAATAGGTATTGTAATTATTTAATACAATACCTTCACTATAATACCTTCTTAAGTTGTAAAAGTATTCTTAAAAAAGTTAATACTTGTAAACCATAATAATAAAGTTATCCAACCATTAAGATTAACATCTCCTGTTTAGATAAACCTGACAGTTTACATGATCAGATATAGGGATCTACTGAATTATGACGTAACTGGATATGGAAATCACACGAGTAAAGAAGGTACAGAAGCAACGTTTTTTACAGTGCGCATGTGTGAGTGAGCACTGGCCGCCTGTATAATGCGATTCAACTAAGAATAGGACCGACTGGGCGCCATATTATGACGTCATAGCTGTCAATTCAAACCAAATAGATAGAGTGAGCAAAAACCGAAGTTTTTGTTTAATATAACTTATTTACTAAGATTAAGTGAGAAAAAACATCAGATACTTGATAAAATGTTTATTAAATTTTCCAAGATTGTTAAAAAAACAACCAATTTTTAATAATATTTATTTATTAAGACTGTGTGAGAAAAAATAATAATCAGAATCTAGCTCTTCAATTCCGCTCGTCTCTGCATTATCGCCAGAGTAGTTATGAATAATCATGCACTATTACTGTGTCACATACGAACATGCATCCTTTATGTAAACGAAAGTTTTAAATCGAGTTTCTGAACGCTACTTAAAGTGACATTTAGTTGACGATTTAGGTTTCCAACCATTCATAGCTCAATAAATGAAAAAAAAATATCAACCAATATTAATTATCAATATTTGTTATTGTTTGTTTACAAATATTTGGTTTTTATTCTAAAATTAGTAGTGCTAAAAAGGTTTCCAAGATTTTTTTTCAAACCGTACTTTTCAAGCGAAATTTGACAGATTGAGATCATTGGCTTTCCTATTCTTATTTGAATCGCACTTTAGGCCTATTCACTAACTACTTTTGACAGATGGAAGTGGTAATCCCGAATTATTTAGTGATAACGCCACTAGGATACTTGTTCTGAAAAGCATCGATGGATATGCAATTTTCCGATTAGTTATACACTGCAAATGTCAAAAATTTAACGAATAGGCTGGTCAGGGAAGGCTAGACTTTTCTTGGTTTATCAGGTAGGTATCAGATATAAAAAAAGTATTGCATACGTTTTTTTGTATTTTTACATGATCTAAACATTACAGAGATATATTGATTTGAAATGTCACGCAGCGTCATGTTTTTTTTCTTATTTTTGCTATGATGTGACGTCATGAGCGCCCACGCTCAAACTTTCACGCGCTTTATCATTGTAATTTTTTGGTTCATTGACGAAAGAAAAAAGTGTTCGTAAGTTTTTTGATAATCAAACTGGCGTACTACATAGAACTTTATTTACTTTTCCGTTATCATCCCTTTTGCATACACGACAGGCCGCCAGTGCTCTTCACACACGCGCAATTGTAAAAAGTTTTTACTCTTTGCCTTCTTTTCACATAGAATGGAAATCACTGGATGTACTTACAGTCTAACATGGTAACACGAATGGGACGCGACATCATTCTCGGTCAAAGTTTTATGGGCTTGTCGTTCCTGCGCTCTTAGTAAGACGAGATTAAGTAAATCGACTAGTTTTATCGAAAAACACTTTATTATAAGAGGTTTTATTTGTACTGATGGTCGCCCATTGGTCGAAATTCGACCTGTTTAATTTTCACTGACATTGGCTTCTGTCAAAGAGTCATTGTGTGTGTTGTTGATTTTATAATTTGATAAACATAGTTAAATTAAATTAATAAATTTTATTAAAGATTCGGGCCCCTTTGGGCTAAAATGCGCTTACGCTAATTTTAGCGTATTTTAGTAACAAAGCCACCGGAAGCTTTGTCACGCAGGTGTGAAATAAGTATAATACATTTTAATATTAAATTAAAAGAGCTTTCTGCACTCCTTACTCTATATAAAAATATTATGCAAAATCACCCTTTCTAAGCATTTAAAGGAGCTTAAAAGCACGAAAGCTTTTTTCTTCACGAAAAAATAAAATGATAGTCAGATGTTTTCTTTATATATAATAAAGGCATACTATTTTTAGAAAAAAAAATACAAGTAGGCAGGAACCAACACGGCCCAACAATAGCCGGCAGCCTGCCCCCGACGCGACGAGACCAGTCCACTGTCATTGTCAGTGCCACGTGCGTCACAATGCATTGTAAACAATAGCCCTACATGCTCGGCTGCCGAGATTTTATGCTTAGCTCACACTGCGTGCAATGCTATAATTTAAGAACGATTTTTATCTGCAGTGCGATTCTGTAAAATAAAATCCCACTTCTGAATTCGGATGTCGGGATATTGTCTCCCTTG